CAATACGCCTTGACAACCTCGGGAGCTGCGACTGGAGCCAACTGAAGCTGTAGCACAGGGCCACTGACATGAGCTAATGCAAAGCTGGGGAGCGCCTTTTGGTCAGGTAGTGCGCCAACATGCCCTTGCGGACCAAAGAAGTCCGTACATACAGGCCTTGGAAGAAGAGTCACTGTAAAAGGCCTTCTCATGACCACGGCAAATGTCTTGCATGTTGGTGAAGAGATGTCCAACGGACATCAGGTTCCGGTTGATAAGAACACCTTCTCTCTTTTCATCTTTGCAGCTCAGGTGCTTGATGCCCGCCGCCTGGCGTGGACCCCGTGCTGTGTGGGAAGCTGGAGCAGCTAGAGAGAAGCAAAGACTGAGGTCTTGAAGTCTTGAAGACCAAAAGCCCAGCAAAATGATGCTTGCCCTCGGCAATCCCTGCAGGCTCTGCACGCCAAGTCGCAAGGATGACCCTTGACTTAAGAAGGAGTCCCAATCCATGTCGGCGAAATCGGCCCACCTCCGCAGGGGCGAACCACGCCACCCTCCAAAACTGGAGCTTGCAGAATCTGTGGTATGGCACTTGACCAGTTTTGGCAAGCCACTGGCATGCGGCTCCATCGACGACTCGTATGCACCTCGCACACCACGGCAGTTCGTAGATCACAGAATGAGTTGGAACTACCGACAAGTTTGCTTTCAGATCGGCTGAACTTGCAAGATGTTATTCGAAACAGAGGCGGAAAAAGTATACAGTATACCTTAACTAAGTCTTACTAAGTTAAGTCTACTTCACCTCGAGATAATGCCAATGCCAGTTTAAGCATCGAGTGTATGTTGAGCTCGGACATTTCGGACTCTCACACGGTCAGCCGGGACATTTACATGACATGGGAATGCCTCAGTTCCCCATCAGGCTTGTGCTTGAGCATCAAGGCTTGTAACACGCGGGCATATTCTGGTGAACATATTGGAAGTATCCTCTGGGACATATTGGAAGTATCCTCCGGAATTTTGACATTTGATTGACATGTTGGAAAGAAATATTGGAAAGCAGGTTTACACAACCATGGAATGCTTGGTCTTTGTTGGCCTCTAGACTCTAAAGCCCTCGTAGAAAGATGGTTGCTTTTGATGTTGGGCATCCGCTTTTCTCAAAAACATAATGCAGTTCAAGATGTACGTTCACAATACTGAACGTTTATGCCAAGCAACTTGGCAATGCATGCTGAACTTTGGAACAGTTGAGATTTCCATCTGGCTTGATGTTGTTCTCTTTCACTCTCTTCTGCCCTCTGCACCATGGACCCCTCATTTTTTCTTGTCGAGGGGCAACTCGCTTCACGACCCATGTAAAAGCATCGGGTGCATCTCCTCCTGCGCTCTCCGTCTAGCGGCTTCGTCTCTCCTTTCCTCGTTGGTGCTAGTGGCTGCCAGTGCCACCTAACACCAAAGTCTCTGCATTTGCTTGTCCACTCGCTGTGCTTGCCGCCACATCCTCCCAGCACATTGCTTTCATTGCGCGGCCCGGCACGCTCCCCCCCATCTTCCTCCTCCAACAATGGTTGCCCAGGTGCTTTCTTGTGAGCCATTCTAGTAAGATTTGAGATTTGGATGATAAAACCGATAATCTTCTGAGCGGCTAAACCCTGGTCTGCTCTACGCACTCATCACGCAGGTTATCCATCAGGTTGGAGCTGTGTTCCTACAGCCCCACAACCGTCCAGGCCCCCTGGAGAAACAAGATGTCCGACCTTTCCGTTCTAACCCACCCAGGGGGCGTGGTCAATGAGGAGTTTCTAACGCCCGCGAGAACCCGCTGGCTGTGCATAACACAACACCTCTGACCAAGCGAGCTGCAAGCGCCGGGCTGCAGCAAGTACCACCTGCCGCGCATAGGGCGAGCCCAGTGCAATGGAGACTTCCGCTGTCAGGACTCGGCGGCGCCTGGGATCATGAATCAAAAGGCTGTGCTTCAGTCGGCTCGGCTGCGCTGCAATATGAAGCACTGATCTGTGCGAGAAGGTTGCTTCCCGTTACCCGTTTATTCAGATTCTCTGCACGGAACTTGCGACAGCTTTCGAAAGGCCGCGCTGTGGGGGAGGACGAGGACTTGCCAAATTCTTAGCACAACAACACCTTCAAAAACCGGAAAACAAAAACAAACAGCCTTAGTTCCATCGCAAGAATCGTGGTGCTCGGGCCTCCGTATTCTCTCCCAGGCCAGTGCCAGACAAGCAGCGACCTCAAACCCATACCAATCAATGCGCAGTGCATCCACAGATTGAGCGCGACTTCGGGAGGCCAGCTCCTATAGCATACCGCGCAAGCGCGCAGTGCCTCAAATCATCAGTTGTACTGCCCGCATCACGGAAATTAGGACTTGGGAGGCGTGCTAGCCATCCGAAGCTGGATCTGAATCTGACTCAATGTGGATTCCAAGCCTATGCAAGCTAAGGCACGATGGCCGCAAGCCATCGCAGGCCAGGCCTAGCAGCAAAAAAGCTCGAGAGCCGCGTTTTGCATCCTTCTGCTGAGCCGCCCTCACCCCACCCCTTCGCCCGTTCGAGCTATCCCGTTCGCAAGGAACCTCCCCCCTTTCTCTGATTCATACCCCTTGTCGCAGACTGAGGATAGAGGCTTGTCATGCAAAAAAGGGCTTGTCGCAAGCAATTCGCTGCCATCCATACTTCGTCATACATCTATACATATAATATAAATACATATATATATATATATATATACCTATATGTATGCATAGATCCAAAGTGAAGAATCAGACTGGGTACTGACTGGGCCTTGACAGGGAAGTTCGCGAAGGCCAAGCCAAAGCCAGGACCGCCATGGCAGCCGGCTTTCAATCTTTAAAACTTTAAATTAAAACTTTAAAAACATATATAGAAAGAGTTACAACTTAGTTCGGGTGTCGTTCAGACATCATTGGCCATTGGCTTGCTTTGCTGGCCCTAAGAATGCATGGTGTCAGGACGCTGAACCCCTGCAACCAGCCAAACTACCCTCCGCCATGGCACGCGTGCTCACAAGCCACAGCCCACCGAGAATGTACAGCCGCGGAATCATGCGGAATCAAGTTCGACCATGCGTGCAAAACAGGCGGGCTTTGCAACGGCCCAAATGCCACAGACGACTGCTCATGCCTGCATGTGTCAGACTTGTCTCAGCCCGCCCCGAAAAGGAACAGGGCCCACACGTAAGAGAACACTCTGCGATGGACCAGGGCAGCCCCGGACAAAACCTGGGCCGCTACAGCCAGGATTCATAGCGGGAGCAGAGTTTCGCAACACTGCAGAAACTGAAGATACAACTCAAAAAGCAGGCACATGTTGGGATGTGGTGGTTGGTACCGGAGCATGAGCGCAAGGATGCATAGCAGCTTTCTTGTCGGGTCTTTCGTTGAAATCCTACGAGTACCGTACAGTGCAGATGATTGAAAACTAGAGTGGACTTGCTGCACCACAGAAGCAAGCGGGCCCTGCACATTTTTCCTTCGCCTGCATGTGACCTACCAGCCGGGGATATACATAAAGACTGCCTGGAAGAGACACATGCCCTACCGTCCTTTGAACGGCGAGCTCTCCTTAGCACTCAAGAAGCTTGATTTGGTGCCCAAGGAGGACCCGAGCATGCCAAAGGCAAGGAGTAAGCCATTAACTGCTTTAACGCGTGCACTAAACCCTGGCACGGAGATCCCAGTTCTGGAGGCGGCAAGTGCTGCCATTCAACTGAACCGCGCTCGCGACAGTTCTGCAGCGTTGCCTGAAAATAAATGGTTTTGCCGCAGTATCAGCCGCCTCCCAAGTATTGATTCAGCGCAGCATATGCCTCCGCCACTTCGCGAAACCTGAGTGTACTGCTGGGCGCGAATCAATCCGCTCTGGTACAGCTTTGGCTTCAGAAAATTGTTGTCACGGGTACAACTTTGACGGTCTGACCGGGACCTATAGGACCACAAGGAGTGTCAACGTCGGGTCATTTGGAACACACCATCCCATTGGCCTCTGCGATGCCTCTTCCTTCGAGGCCTCGAGGTTCTTGTCCTTCAATGAGCTGCGCATATGGTTTTGGGCTTAGGACATCAGCTTCACTCAGGCGATGAGGATGTCAGTAATGGAAGTGCTGCATCAAAACAAATCAATGCCGGACAGCTGCATGGTACTTGGGAGATACGATATGATACGATGGTTGAAATTACCAGCTGGCTTCTGTTGACAAGGCCACCCGCTGTCTGCCCATGCCCACTTTTAGTTCGCAAAAAGAACTTCGCTTGTAGATTGTGAAAAGCCGACATACCCTGCAGCACCCTCAACAACGGCAGATATACTTGCGCCGTCATGCGAACCAAGGATGTGAAGTACTGCACAGTGCTGCAAGCGAGAAGGAGGGAATACCAGCGGTCTAGCTGGTTGGGGTTCAGAATGGCAGTTGAAGCTGCGGAGTTTATCTTGACAATGTTCCCATGACCCCGTCGCTTTAGTGCCTCTGTAGTACGCGTGTCCACACAATTCCGCAGCTCCCTGTCAGTGATAGTGAGAGCACGTCAGCTCACTGGCCGTGGTTTGACCAATCAGCCATAGAGGGTGCAGAACCCGATGCACCAGAATGCTAAAATTGTATCTACAGTACTTGACCCTTCGAGTATCAATTGGTGCATTGGCAGAACATCCTCTGTGCGAAGCATGAACAACAGGCTCTGAAGCCGCGTGCCGTGTGGAACAAGATCTGAAAGACTAAGGCTCGCACATTCCTACCGAGCCTATCGCAACCCGACGCCTCCAAATACACCCGGGCCGCATGAGTGGCTGACCTAATATGGCCATAATTTCACGCGCTCGTGACATGTCGGCGAACCCGGGTACCAAGAGACATGGGGCGCCCAGGATGTTCAAAAAGAAAGTTGCCAAGAACGACAAGCTCCGTATTCGGAGCTCCTCATCTACAATGCTGCAAAATCATTTCAGACGGCTGGCAAAAGGGGCCGTCAAAAGGTATAGCTACAACGTGGCTCCACGTTCTGGGCGGGAGGCAAGCTCCGCGGCCTTCATTTTTGCACCTGCGGCCTGAGCAGGCAGAAACCCAGAATGTCAGCGCGTTCATGGGGGAGTGGAAACACCAAAGTACATCAAAGTACATGCAACTTGCCTTAGGCTACGTGCAGCTACAGGGAAGAAACTACGGCTTGTTCCAGCAGCCCCTCTTCTGATCATAAAGACCTTGCGCCTCTAAGTTTTGGTCTATGTGGTGCGTGACCTTCCATGCCACTGGGCTTACAGTTCTCGTGATTTACGCCCCAGGCGCTGTAGCCGCCTTGATGGCCTGGATGAGCTGCCGCTGTGCCGATTGCCGGGCACGGGACTCTTCGTTGGCCTTCCTCACAACACATGCGACGACTACTTCTGCATCGCGTGGTTCCAACGCAGCCTGTTTGTGTGATGGCAGCTTCCGGCTGCGTTCGGAAAAGAAATCACCCTTCATCGTGAGCACTCGCTGTTTAGGACAGCTTCGCAGGTTTACCTCCGCGTTGCCTCACTAGCAGCTGCATTTGCTGATCAGCAGTCCATCTCATCCGTATATGACGTACACAAGTTCATCTGACTGAACCTCAGCCGGGTGGCAGCTCGGCTGCCGCAAGAAGCGCATGGAGATGTGACGCGTCGCTGGCCTCTGCCTGCGCGTTGTCGTACCTGAACAAGCTCAAAGTATGACTCGAGCTGTGACGTGTCTAGGGTGCCAGTCCGTGATGAGGCCGCCGAGCAAAAATCAACGCAGACTAACGATGACAAACGGTGTACCAAGCTGCTAGTCAGACGATCTATCAGACGAGCCACGTCTCTGTCGAGGCTTCCGATGGCGCAGGCTTCGGCGATGTCTCGTCCCATGCACTGCCTTCTCCTAGATATGCTTCGACAAAAAGGCAGTCAGTGCGCCCGGAACAAGCTTGACTGTCCAGACCAGGCATCAGTTACGACATGTTACGGCCGAGCCTGATGGCTTACGAGGACTTTGCATCGCCACCCGTTCCTGTCACTGAGCAATGGATCTTTTGCACTTCAAGCCAGCTGACATGTGCCCTGGCAGCACCCAGCATGACACTTACGTATATATGTGCGTGTGCATATGTGTATATATATATATACCTATCTACGTCTATGCATGTGACAAAACTGTGCGCCATGACGATAGCACGCCTGCACTCATGAGAACATGACTGGTGCGAAGGTACCCTCGTCGCTTTTCACTTATGCTGTACCTCCTTCCGGACATTCACTATTGCCGCATGGCCAAGCGGCAAGTTGATTCTCTGTCTCTGAAAGTCGCCTTTCCTTGGCTGTGATACCATTCATACTCCACTCCATAGTTGCATGCTCGCAAACTTCAACAAACGAAAACATACCAGACGAATCTGCAGAAAGGTACGCGCATAAGGACATGCGGAAAGCAACCGCCATGCCAATGCACATCTTCTCTATGTGAGTCTATGTGAGAAAATGCTGCATAGGCCGTACCCGTCGTGTGATGTTTCAGAGTCTTTTCTGGATTGTGATTGGGACTGCCTCATGCTGGCACTCTCGGGGAATTTTGCCGGGAGATCTTCATGTGTTCAACTCATGTACATAATCGGGCGCTTCGGATTCACTCACGGTCACGATAGGCACCCTTGATAACTTTCATATCATTCTGCTGGGAAGGCGACGCCACGAACGGGACCGAGCCACTGCCGCAGTACGCCGCTCCTCGGCCGCCTTGCGGCAGCGCTCCTCTCGTGGGAACTCATGGGAAACTATGCGCGATAGAACGACGTGGTCCATTGCGCAAAACGTTGCTGTTTGCTGCACTGAACTCTGACTCTAGCCCGCCATCGTCACCGCTGCACCACCCGAGCGAATCCACCAGAATCGCATGCTAACCTGCTAACCCTGCTCCCAGCATTGAGAAAGTTGGAACTGCCCTGCGCCTCAGCGGATAGTCGACTGTTGGCTGCTTCGAGTCGTCGCTGCAGGTCAAGCACTAGATCCTTTGACGAGAGATGCACGAGTCAACACTTGCTTCACGCACATGTTGTGTCACACGCCTTGGAAAACATGCAAGCCGTCACAGCACAAGGAACATCTGTCATTACGACTTCCGCTTAGGCAGCGCATGCTCGAGCCTTGCTTACGTGCTGAAGGGTCCAGTTGCACGATTGAAGAGGGGGGCGGGGGCGGGGGGAGCGTTTAAGCTGATGCCAGTTCGTTCTGCAGTTGCCAAAATGTTCGGAAAGGCTCCAGAGCTTGTTGGTCTGCTGCAGCGCTCGAAGACGCCATCCCCTCCTGCACGTATTATGGTGGGAAAACTTGGTAAAACTGGAACACCACAGGCTGTGGACGCATCAAGGATCAAGAGCGAAATTGAACTTGACATCACAGAGAGCAGTCTGAAGGCCTCCATGGCTGCAAGGCGTTCTTCGAGAGTTTGCACCTTCTGTTCTGCTTTCTCTTTGTCAGAGCGGAGCTGCTGCACTTCTTTCACATCAGCTTCCATGTCTGAGACTTGCCTCTGCAAGCTGATTGCACGAGTTTCTGCATCCTTCTGGACTGCAAGGTGTACCTCTTGGAGGGACCCGGCAGCCTTCGCCCGCGCAAGCTCAGACTCCAAGCTGGACACCTGATTCTGAAGTTCGCAGGCTCGCGCCTCAGCATCGCGGCGACCAGCTTCAGCTGCTTCAACTTTCTTGGAGTCTTCCTCTTGTAAATCCTTCAAGAGCTTCTCTGCTTCCTTGAAGTGGGAGCTTGCTTCTCGAACCTCCGTCGCCTCGGCCTCGAGGCGAGAGAGGTGCCGCTGCATCTTTTCTGCACGCACCTCAGCGTCTTTGTAGGCTTCTTCTGCTTGCTCCGCTTTCTTCAGTTTAGCCTCTGCGGCTGCCAAGCGCTTCTGCAGCTCGTGGTTGCGGACCTCAACTTCCTTGCGGGCGAGCTCGGCCTGCTCGGCCTTCTTGCGTGGGGAGAGTAGGGAGTCTGCTGGCTGTTCAGCCTTCTTGGCTCGAACGTCTGCAGCCAGTCGCTTCTGCAAGTCCTGTGCTCGGGTCTCAGCCTCCTTGGCTTTCGCTTCGGCTGAAGACAAGCTGGCCTTCAAGTTGTCGACCTCGCTTTGCAACACAGTCTGTGCAGCCTCCGCAGCTTTTCGTGCAGCACGTTCGTTCGCCAAAGCTTGGTCGACACCAGCATCACGGTTGGCCTCTGCTGACAAAAGAGACTGCTTGGCTTCGCGGAGAGCTGCGGCCAAATTCTCTGCCAACTGCTCGTCTTGGACATGCCGCTTCTCAGCACCGGCGCAGCGCTCCTCTGCTGCCTTGCGGCACGCCTCCGCGGCGGCAAAGCGGTTCTCAGCTGCCGCTTTGCGGCGCTGTGAATCTGCCAGCTGCTTTTCCAGACTGGCCACCATGTCCTGCAAAGCTTGGCAGGCCTGCGTGCGCGACTGCGCCTCCGCCAGCTGCACTTTGCACTCGTCTGACTCCGCAGCGAGCCTGGCGTTCAGCGAAGCCACTTCAGCCTGCAGCCAAAGGCCAAGCTAAAACTAAAGCCGTGAAGTCAGGAACCAGACGTGTAGTATCATTTAGGTTACCAGTCACACAGCCATCAACTGTTGCAACCTCTGTAAAATGACACAGGCCCCATGGAAAATTTTATACAAACTCCATGATACCAGCTTAACAAGGAACATGCAGTCCCCTCGGGCTCCTCAGTTTTTCCAGGGCGGAGACATAATCAAAAACAAAGACCTCTTCCGTGCTTTGGATTTCAAAGCCACCGGTTATTGGGTTACATGCCCGGCTTTCAAGAACAGGTACTGCAGGATCACTGTCCCCAAGCCCATGCAAGTATAACATAAAGCTGCAGGCATAGCATGGGAGCATGCACCGGACGGGCCGACCTTCTGTGTCGCCAGCTCAATCTGCAGGTCGGCTAGTTCTTGGGCATATTTGGTGGCCTTCTCTTCGGCGTCCCCCTGCCAATCTGCATCAGACTCATCCCTTTGGAGCAACATACAGGTGCGGACTCTTTACAGGTACCGGTTCCACTGGTTTCGAGCGCAACAAGCCGAACCACTGGAGCTCTGTTCTGAACACCTGATTTCTTTGCAGATTTTATCCGAAGGAAGATGATGCAAGCCAACATTAACTGAATGATCGTGGCAGCAAAGTTTCCAAGCCTTCGAGCTGCGCATTGCATCCTGCACAGCCTTCACACACACATGATGTTGCCATGCTCTGGGATGGAAGTTCACGGGTGAAGTAGTTGCATTTCCGCATATTCCAGAGGTCCTGTCATCGACCGTTCTGCCAGACTCCTAGACTTGTCTATCTATATCTGTCCCGGATTTCGCCTCCAGCTTCTTCTCACGCTCGTCTCGCAATGATTGCTCGGTTCGAAGAGCTTGCTCCGCTAGCTTTGCCCGAGCCTCTTGACGGGCGCCAGGTGAACACGGTGAGCATCGGAGTCTTCATGCACATGCTACAATTGCTAGAAGTAATTACTGCTGTGCGATGTCTCTTGCCCAAGCCATTCGAGACCTCCGCTTCTTGCTTCGCATCTGCTGCGGCGTCGGCCCTGGCCATAGCGGCGTTCTGGGCCTCTCCCAAAGCCTGGCACACGACATCACACTGCCTTCACGCGACACACAAACAACATCAAACAACCAACACCTCAACACAAGGCACCCGGCCACACCCACGGAGTTGCAAACTGAGGTGCCTTCACAGCCGCGTCTTTCTCTCGAAGCTGTGTCTGCAGCTGGTCCACGCGGTCCTGACATCAGGACCCTCGAGCCGATGCACGTGGACCCACTGAAGTTCTGCGATACCAGGACAAGCGAATCCATCGGTTCCATCCTTGTCTCTGGGTTTTTGGCTCCGGAATGAATTTGGGATTTTCTTTCTTGGGGACGTTGTTTTGGTCAAAGCAAGGGGGGGGAGGGGGAGGGTTTGAGGGCCCCTTCACGGGGACTTGCGGAGTGGGGACGATGGCGGGAGGGAAGAGGAAGAGCGGAGGGGATGGGGGGGACATGGGTTGAGTGGCCACAAATCTGTACATTGTCAAATATAGCATATATATATATATATACACACTATGCACATATTCTGGGTATATAGACTATATAGACATATGTTTTTTGCAATTTATAATATAGAACTCAATTTTTTGTATTTGCAGAATCGATAATGCACATTTTTGTATGTCAATGTGTGTATATTATATGCGTCTACGAAGTCTGCGATTTCTTTGGTCCTGCAGTATGTCTGTATAATGTGATGCAGGGGTTGGAGGAACAGAAGACCAGCGGACCAAGTCCGGAGGACCAGGAGACCGGAGGACCGGAAGACCGGAGTACCAGAGGCCGGAAGACCCCAGGACAAGAAGTTCGGGAAAGGGACCGGGAGAGCAGGACCAGGGTCAGAGGGCCAAGAGACCAAAGGACCAGCAGATCAGGGGACCAGGGAACCGGCAACAAAAGAAAATAATATCCAAAAAACAAGTATACTTCCCATGTGTTTCAACAAGTGCATCCTCAACGAATTGCATCAACACGGCAACTTAAGCTCCTCTACGTCGGCATTGGCCTGACGCGGCGATGGGGAAGCACCGCGCGGAGATGGGGAAGCACCACGTGGACTGATCAACGGAGAGGAGCACACCATGTCACGAAAGCCTGCGGGTTGTGGGGCTGCGGTTCGAAGAAGGGACTATCTGACTATCTCTGGCTGCCCTGCTGTATGACAGTATGCATCTCGCTATGTATCGCGCGTCACTGCCTGTAGGCAGACCTGTAAGCAGCTTGATAAAACACCATATTCTCGGAGTCTTGCTATGCCAGTGTGTTCTCTGACTTCGATTGGCCTCGGGAGCGCTGGACTGCCCGGCGGAGGACCTGACACCAGCGAATCGCCTCCTGGGCGGCTCATGGAATTTCATTTTCAAATGGCCTAGAGCGACCAGAAAGGAAGCCAACAAACGAATCTCCGGCCTCGGAAGTGTTCAAGCGCAGGGATAGTGATGGACTTCCCGGTGCCTCGCAGAGACTTCCAGGACTGCGCTGTAGCCTGAGAGCCTTGTTTCAATCCGCTCCTCGATCTGGACTGTCTGTGATGTCACCTCCACCTTTGCGCCAGTCAAGGACACGGCGGCCTGCTGCCTGCAACAAAGGCATCGCCCAAGTCCCTACGTGCCGTGGAGGCCGGACGGCCTCTGCTACACATCGTGTAACTGTAGCGACCATCGCTTCTATCAAAGCACGCCGTGGTGCAACTGGAAGTCCATTGCAGAGCTTCACTATACTATACCCACCCAAACATCTTTCGTTTTTGTGCATGCCTTCCACTTCGCTGGAGCATCAGTAAGTCACCGTGCAGTTTGGCGAAGCAGCGGGAAGGCCAAAATTGACCTCCCAGTCGATACGTGACATCCTTGGATGGACCCAACATCAGCAAGAACCGCACAAGATCGCGCAAGCCGGAAGCCACAGAAGCTAAGTATAAGCAAGCGTCTCCAGATATGGACTCGTCAATACCCCGCGCGCTCAGCGGAGAAAGAGGCAGCGAAGGCATGGACGCTGTCAGGATGTTTGGCATCGTATGGGCCATGGCCCAATCTTTACAACTCAGCTCTTCTGGCACCTTGAGGTGCTTGAGAAGCCGAAAGCTTTTGGGATGGCAAGCCGTGCAAGCCAAGACAACAGACGACTCGGGACACCATGCTCCAAGTAGCCGCACACACAGTGCACAAGATACCGGGGCCGACCCCTGCTGTTGTTTCTTCTGCTTCTTCTTCTTCACAACATACCCCAGGCTGTGCACTGCATAGAAACCTCTGCTTTGTGCTGCCTGCATCTAAACCCTGTCCAGATCCTTCTCTGAAACCGTTCCCTCAGACCTCGACCTTGTGCTTCAAAACCCGGCTTATAACAACCAGCAATATCATCTGATGTCAAAGCCGTTTTTAGGGTGTATGGCATTTTGTTGAGGCAGTCCGGGTGGTACTTCAGCGCCAGCTTGCGATACGCCTTTTTCACGTCCTTATCCACGCAGCATGCCAAAAAAATTGTCATCAACTTGCCAAGAACGACGATCTTGATTCTGATTCCGACGTGTCCCACACCGAGCGTCTGCAGAGCTTGAGTTTGGAGCCAGGCCAAGGGTCTTGAAGTGAGGGAGAAGCCTTGAAAAACACAAGCACACATGGCAACGGCACATATTTAAGCGCTAACTAAGAGTTAGAGGCCTAAGCAAGGCCTAGCTTAACTGTACCTTACTAAAAGTAGCGATGTCTCATTCTGGACATCCCGTTGAACTCAACAAAGCAGAACATACAAAAGGCACAGCGGCATCCATTAATCGAACACCGCCACGCCCCATCCTTCCCACCCAACCTACCCCGCCCACATCCACCCACACACCAGAAAAGCTCACTTGCTTCTGTCTGATATTTCGCAAATTGGATTGGAGAGAAGGAGCGAGTACGTGAAGCACACTTGAACTGGACCAGGGCAACTTTGCAAGACCTTAAAAGTACTGTAGACGCAGCCCCACATCTCCGACTGCAATCCAAGGCCAGGGATCGGGTCGTTGGCACTATCAAGCGACCACAGCCTATAGGATCCTACAATTCGCAATGCAGGGCTTTTATGAAAAGGACGGGCCTCGGCACCACTCGCCCCACAATTAGTCCGGATGACCAGATGACAATGGTATATTCTCTGTGTGTCCACACTGGCTGCGGCATCCGACGAGGAGACATGTTCGATACTGCAAGACTGAGGGCTGCACGTTTTGGGATTGATGTTCTTTGCGCTTGGAGGTGGTATGGGTTTCTTGTAGTTCCTGCGTGCTTCATGTGGCAAATTGGCGTGGCATCACAGTGACACTTTTGGACATTTGAAGCACATGGCAAAACTCCTGCCTTTGCCAGTCTCTGGGACCGAAATTGTTGAAAGTCCTTTCTCAATGGCTCATATGGCTCATGCGGAGAGTGCTGAAGGCAGTCCAGGCCCGAGACGCCAAGGCTTATTAATTATCGATTCCTATGAAGCTCATATACCACTACTGTGCGCAGATGAATGCCAATACACAGGTGAACACCGTTCTGGCTCTGGCTGGCACTTGGGAAAAGCTTAGCAGGCGTGTGTGCAGATGAGTGAGCCAGATGCCACGTGAAGCCTTGAAGCACCTTGAACAAGCAACGTGGAGAGCAGTCTTCGGCCTTATGAACCGATTTTGCCTTCTGCTGAGTCCATTCCGCTAGTGCTGACAAGCAGCGGTGGCGGCTTGGGTGGCTCCGGCGGCGGTGGCGGCCAGAGAGCAGAGGCCAGACGATGCACCAGCTCCTTCCTTTTCAAGACCCCAAACGTCAATTTTTGTTGGTTCACAAGGGCTTTGCGCCGGGCGTTGGACCGGCTTTGGGAAGGATTTCCTCCCTGCTACGAGCTCACTCTCGGGCTTGCTACATTGCGATGTTACACTGATGTTGCCATATCCCGTTTCCAAACTAAAGTCATTCAATTCATGCTTAGTCGACTTAGCCAGCAGACCTATATAAACCCACAATGACCCACACCCCCCCCCAAAACAAGATCAGCTCGGATGCTTCTGACTCTCGCGAGCGACGGAGTTGACCCCATGTTCGCGGCAGACCTCCGACACAGGGTTGTCTGAGTTTGGCTGCAGCTCACGTCGCTTCTCGATACTTTAGCCTCTCTGGCTTCGGTCGCCAGCCCCCAATTCCCAAAAAGTGCATGCGGCGTTCTGCAGAACAAGACAGTAGTAAATTGCACACGCTACGCCATTAGGAATGCATGAATGCCTGCCTTCTGGAGTTCTCGGAGGGGCAGCTCGCTCCACAACATTGCCTGCTTTATCCTGTCCATGACTTCCGACCTCCCGGAACGACAACATCAACAAAAGCACTGTTCGCGCACACTGCTTTCAGATATCGCGGCGATTGGCGTTGCCCCGGTACAAGAAAGGGTCATGCTGTGGCACGCCTCTTGAGGTCCTTATCGACATGGATGCCTCAGGCGGAAGCGCGGGTAAGCTTGCGAATTGAATACAGTATCATGCAGCAGGCATTGGCTATGATAAAGGCCAGCGGCTGAAAGCCGTCGCTTTGAAGAGAAGTCCACCTGCAAAGCTCTCTCTCTGACCCATTCTTCCGACTTGCTCCTCTGCAACACGGAGGCGTGGACTCAAAATGCGCCGTCAGACAGGATTCGTACTGGACTCCTCAAACACTGCACGCCTTCGCTAAGCTGATCGAGCTGCTCCCAGCGCTCTGACAAGCGAGCAGCTGCGGTGACCGAGCCCAAACGCCTCTGAGGTTGCGAGTTGGGAAAGTCGCGAGCTGCAAGAAGGCCCGTATGCAGTAGGGTTCAGCGGCTCAGTCTATAGGGCATACTGTAGCAGGATTCTGAAACCCAAGATCTGCTGCACAACGAGCAACGAATTCTGAAGGCAAGACACCAACCATCGAATCAACCACAGGCGACAAGCAGGGGCACGTCATCAACCAGCTCTGAAGCTTGATTTACAGTAATGAAACCATGCTGTCCCAACTGTGCCAAGTCACCGAACCGGAACACCACGACGCTCGTACCAAGCCTGTGCTCAACAAACTCAGTCGGCCTTACACCTGTCTGACATTTCGTGATCGGTGATTAGAACCCCGTGCTTTGCATCAATCCTAGTGACCTAATCTTCCCATGGAAGAGCTTGCAGAGCCTTGTTTCTTCAAGGTCCCTATTTGTCCAACTGATGCCCCAAATTCAGCTGTTGATGCAGTGCACCAGACGTGACCGAGCCATTTTGGCGATCAAACGATAACAAATCGACGATGGGCCCCCCTTCCGGCGACATGATATTAGCACCAGTGCCTCGCACTTCTCCACGAGAAGGGAATCGACCAGCATCTCTTTCAACTCCTCTTCATACAAGGATTGGAAAGAATAGCATGACGCTATTCGGACCAGCAAGAATCTCGACCAGGCGCGCTTGCTAGCTGCTAGTGCCTAGCCCTCAAAATTGCCGTAGTGTTCACACATTTCGCACCTGCTCGGTCACCATACCTTGCGGCTGGGGGCAGGGGACGTTCCGTGCACGGCACTCCTTAGGTCTGCAGCATGGAAACGCCATAGTTCACACGGCTCGCAGTGCTCGGCCACGATGGCTACAAATAGCCGCGTAGCAGTTCAGAACTAACTAACTAATGTGCGTGCTTTGTCCGAGGTGCCAAACGTAGCTCACCACAAGGCAGCGCCCGCCACAAGGCCAGCTCCCGATGCAAATCACGGAGCTCCTTTCAGGTTTCACAATAGTCTTATGACACTGGATGTGTAGCCAGAGCCACGATTCGAGGAATAGTTTTTTATATGGAAAATTTACGTTTTGAATATGATTTTGGGATTTCTTGATTTATGCCATTTTTACGATTTGGTTTATGATTCTCTTCGATTTTATGAAAAATTTATGATTTTTCTTATGAAAATTTTATGTTTTTCGTCGATTTTATGAAGATTTTATGATGTTTTCATGAAAATTTTATGGTTTTGGTCAGTTTTGTGTGTTTCTGCATTGAAAATGATGCTTCTGCATTGAAAATGATGCGAAATTGATGAAAAACATAGAATTTTCATAAAAAAGTCATAAAACTTTCATAAAATCGACGAAAAACATAATTTTTCATAAAAAAATCATAAATTTTTCATAAAATCGAAGAGAATCATAAACCAAATCGTAAAAATGTCATAAATCAAGAAATCCCAAAATCATATTCAGAACATAAATTTTCCATATAAAAAATTATTTGGCAACGTGCTCTCTGTGGCTGAATCCGGGGTCATAACAATAGTCCGCTCGTTCGCCGAGGCGAACTGAAAGTTGCAGGATGTTGAGTTCACACCGTCGCCAAAACGGGTTCACGGTTCCGTTGTTCCCACTATTTGAAGTGCACAGGAGTACAGTGCAGCTGAATGCGTGCCACCAGGCGCTAAACAGTAAAGCCACGGTTTAAGGAAAGGCCTGGGAATTTAGGGTTACCACTGTTTTCTTAGACTCCCACATCCTTAGACTGCAGGAGTATAAGGAGGTTTCAGGGTTTTAGGCTTTGGCTTCAGGTTTTGTAAGGAAGTTGAACCAGAATTCCAAATTTCCGAATTCCAGGCATCCGATAATCTAAGGACTTCTGGCTGGAATACACTGCCAGGTTTGAGGCTCGAGCCCTGTGCACATGGGAACACCTATCACCATCGGCTTGGCGAAGCGTCTCCAGCAGGTCTGACCATGCAGAAGCATGCAGATGCCGCAAGACTGTTGTCAGCTCCGGTCCCTTGCGCGTCCTGCTGCCGCAGGTGCTGCACTGGCAATCCAAGGCTTTGGCAGTCGGCCTTCAAACTCGCTGCATCCTGAGACTCCAGGTCTTTCAGCTCCTGGCCGGAGAAAGAATCCCTCTTGACACCACGACTCACCAAAATTCGGCTGTTCTTTGACATTTGATGTTCTTCTTTGATGCTGTTTTTGTTTGTTGCGCCGTCCTGCGCGAGCTTGGCAGCGGCCTTCAGCGAGCCAAGGCGGCGAGCAGGGATGCCCTTGGCCTCGTAAGCGTCCGCACACCTGCAGCAAAAGGACGCATGCCCAGGAAAAGTGCCACAAAAGCGTGAGCACAGACCCCAAACTTCCACAATGAGTTTTCGCCAACATGTTCGCAACCTCAACAGCAGCAGCTGCTCAACCAGGCTATTCTGCTCCTGAGCACAGCCAGGAAGGGTCAACAGGGGTTGGTCGCAAGCTGAACATCAAGGACCGCGACACGTGAGCATTTTTCTGAAATTCTGAATCTGGGTTTAAGGATGTTTCGGGTGTAGGTCAAACTGGCGTGGAAGCTGCTGCACCACCATTCGGCTACAGGGTGCAATGGCTATGGGAGAGCTTCCATGACGTAACAATGCACAGCAATGTTTGTCCCTGCACGTGCTTTGGCCAAGCATCTTTCCAGCAGTCACTACGTTCAGGGGCAGGTGGTGTGACTCCTGGACCTGTGACCTTGCAGAAATCATGTGCCGCAGTTACATGATAGGGCGAAGGCTGGCAGGGCATGCAGAAGAAATAGCACAGGGAAGGATGAAGCAATGCAGCGATGGCCTTGGCCAACTCGGCCTTGAGCTCATGCACGGGCATCGACTCCCAAACCTAGCACTGAGTCTCGATTGTAAAAGAAGCAGCCAAAGGAGCCAATTCCCTGCTTCCCTCATTGCAAAAGGTCAACAGCGCCACCAAGCAGCAGCGACATCCTTCAACAGCTGAAGCAGATCGTGCCGCTCCAATGAGGCATCCTGAAGCCGTTGTTCATCACTAGAGGGTACAGTCGTGTGACTTGAACTACTTGTCGCCATTGGTCACTCATTGGGCTGTGCTCAGTGTGCCAAGCCGGCCAAGGATCTGGAGGCACTCCGTGCAGCTCACACTTGATTTTCAGGTCAGCACTGCCTCAGTTCCAGTCTCGCTCACACGCCGCATGACATCAGATGCGATAGCGGAGGTAGCAGATAATAGGTCTTGGACTTTACTACTGAATATCTCTAGCCACCATTTAGTTGGTGCGTGAGCTTGTTTTTGATTGCATGCATTCCACCCTTCTTGAAATGGCTGTAACCCAATAGGAAGATTGACTTAGGCAAATTACATTCAGCTGCATGCAGCGGTGCAGCTGATGTTGTCCAGGCTCTGCCACTCCTCAGCGACCATTGCGACGGCGCGTGCGTCGCCCAGGCGAGCGACAGGAATTCCCATTTTCACCCAGGCGCCTTGGAGCTTACAAAGCGATATTGGCATGTGCTGGGATGCTCAACCCAACGACGCCGCTCCATGCAGCAGTTGCAAGCAGCCATCTTGCGACAGAAGTCGCGTATGCAGGAGTCCTTCACCAGCCGTCGAACCAAGACGGGCTTCGTTTCCGCAGCACGGTCGGCATCACGCTCCTGGAAGAAATCATATGCAGTGCTATAGCGGATTGATTCCAAGAACACCTCCAACAAAAGCTATCTGCTACCTGAACTTGTGCATCAAAAGCAACTTAAAGGACAAGGCAGCAACACAGGCATCACAGGCAAGCCGAATGGCCGTGGGACTGATGGGCAGCGCGCGCATCTCACACTCTTCGAGCAGCTCCTTGAGCGAACTATCGCGCTCTCAGGTTTATGAGCTCAACTCTCGACTAACCCCAACTGCAGCAGACCATCAGCACATGGGTTGGGAAAGAGTTCTCTCAAAAAGAAGCTGATTGTATCGCAATCTTTTGAAGTCTCTGGAAGAATCTGCCAGCGGGAAAGCAGTAATCAGGTTGAAGGCCTTACATGCACTGATACTCAAAGCAATTGTGCCAAGGTTTGGGGGCTAAGGGCGAAGGATTCATCATCGATCAAGGTCGCAAGAGGAGACACACGAAGAAACCCACAAGAAAGAAGTAATTAACCAAAAGAAGTGTCCAAACCACCAGAAACCTCAGGATCCTTAAACAGCATGTGCCTGGGCCAACCAAAAGCTTTGAACACCCGCCTGGATCTGCCCACAACTACCGAGACCTTCCAGAATCTGCCAGCAATGTCGACAAGTGCGCCAAAAAAACTCTCAGGTTCTCCTCCGAACGAACTACCCAAAAACTAGCAATCGGGATTCCAACTCAATACATCTCCAAGAGTGCTCTGATGTCATATCGGGTACTCCACTGGGTGCTGGAGCTCGAACGAAGGCTTGGCTGAAGTTTCTCCAAGGCGCTGGCATCATGTTGAAATGTTCGGAACATGTTCCAGGAGATTTCTCAACATTTCACAAGGGGTTGGGGCTTGGGCAACCAAGGGTCAGCCAGCGGCAAGGCCTCCCAGAAAAGGGACTCAGAGACCCGCTGGAGCACCCAGCGCCGGTCTTGTACCTCCGAATTTAAAGATCTGCAGCAAAGTGCGTTCTGAGGTATACGCACGTGGTGCGCGGAGCTTGGGCATCACACAGTGCACCATGTCATGTGCCTGCTGCATCGGTAGGTCCAAGGCCTTGTACCGCTCCTGAACAAGCGAGTTAAAACCATGGAAGTGAGTGACGAGTGAACCTTGGCAATGCTGAAAAATGGCTGTTGAAGAGAGGACTCCCGGCCTGGATTGCAGGCATATCCTCGCTGTGAAGGCGCTCCACCTTAGTCACGGCAGTGCAAGTCCGGCAAGCTTTTCAGACGCTCGTCGGGCAGGACACCTCAGCGAAGAGGCTGGCGGCTGCCTGCAGGCATCTGCGGGTGCTTGGTCAGTCGAGGGTACCAGCACAGCGATCGTCATGAGTGAAGGTCCATTGATGAAGAAATAGACAAGTAGACACCAGGCAACTCTAGCAGCTCTGAGAGACTCTAGCAGTTCAAAGCAGCCCTATGCCAGCCTCGTGACTGCCCAGGCTCTGGACCGTGATGCCAGCTGCCTTCCAGATGTCGAGCCACAGCGATTGAAGCAGCAGCCTCGACATGTCGAAACGAACCATTGGCCTGCCTGCAAATGTCTGCGGTATATGGCCTACGCTCTCTGACAAGGATGCCGAGGACTGGCCGCTTCAGTAGCGTGTATGCGAAGAATTGGCTCTGCTAACGCCCCTTGGATGCCTTTCCAGCTTCTGGCGACCCACTTTGCAGCTGTTGTTGACAATCAGTTTCACTCCTGGGCATGCTAGCAGTAGGCCAGTGCAGCGGGAACGTGATGACAGCTTCGCTGGATTGCGGTGGATACTTCTTCCCGCGGAATCTACAAGTCCGAATAAACCGCAACAAACGCGTCGCCCGCTCCTGGTTGCTGAAGCTGTTCCGGGATGTCATTCAAAGGTGCACCCCTCTTGCTGCACTCCGTCCTGCTGCGAAGCCGGTTCGGTTGGAGAGTACACGATTTCGCATGCTAAGGGTCCAAAGGTATGAAATATGTTTAAATGCCTTCTGCGTGTTGCTCAGTTGGCATTCATCAGCTATTTCCCATGCTAGCTTGAACGTCTTGTTTTGACAGGCTGAGAGTTCTAAAGTATCTCTAAATTTGAAGAGATGTTAGGGAATTTGTGGATATTTGTGGCACTATCTGTCGCCTGACGCATTCTTGTGTATAAGCGCGTTGACTGCACAACTCAGGCATAGGAGCAACCGGCCTTGCAACAAGCACCAGGCATGCATTTCGTGGAACATCCCCACAAAAAAAAAACTAGCAATTGGCGATCCGCTGATACTTTGTGGGATGTGAAAATTGGGCACGAGTCTCTATTGCGAGTCTAGGCATGACAGACAAAAATTGCTGAGGTCCTGGAACTTCTATAAAGCCTGATCGAAATGCACACACCACACTCGCACTAGTATAGTTAGGGTATTTGCCGCTTCACAGCGAACTTGCCGTGTAGGCGAGCGAAGCCATGAGGACCATAAAAGACGTCCTGAGAACAGCGTCATCCATCTGCTTCCACACCATCGCCTTGCCGTTGCAACCCTCATAGCTTCGCAGCATTGTAGTGTATATCAGAATGCCATTTGCTTCGAAACTGTTGTGCAGTGCAAGCTGTGCATCAAGAAGCACTGCTCCTAGAGGCCATCATGCATGAATTCGTTACTTGGCTGACAAGTCTTAGCATCAGCACTGCCGACTACATGCACTTCTGCGAACCCCGGTGATCTACGAAGTGGCCTTGCCGAGTCGGCTCACGAGTTCAGGCTTCCTGGCACCCAGGTGCAGCCCAAATTGCAAACAGTCCATTTTCCCTCACTCACAATCAGTTGCCGTTCTTCGAAAGTGCGAAACCTGTTCGCGACAACTTTCTCGACTTTCGCAGTGCCAATAAGGCTCTGTTCATCTTGTTCAAGAGCAACCAAGAGCATGCCAAGTCCCACTAAATACTTGCTGTGCAATGTCGGCATTTTACAGTGCTGCAAAGTGCAACAGCACAGGGGGCTTGGGCACAAACCTCAGATGCTGCTGAGGCACTCGGGCTTGGTTTCAACAGGCACTCCCAGCCTGAGCTGAGCGAAGGCAGACAGCGCCTCAACCTAAACGTCCAGTGACACCTGTGTATCGAGACTGCAAATCTCGCAACTGCATTTCTTTGCACTCCAGGGGTCCGGTGGCACTGCGAGCAGAGATCTGCTAAATTCTTTGTGTTCAGCGCGGCCAAGGAGTCGAGAACCTTCATCGGACTCATGCGACTCTCAACTCCCATCTTTAGCTTAGCACTTGGCCTGGCAGGGTACGAGTAGCACTTGCCTACTGAGGGCCGCACACCATGCGAAACGACCAGGCTAGGCAGCTGCTCCACAGGAATGCCAAGGCTGTGCCAGGATTGGTCTGCCAGAAGCTGCATGAGCCCTGTGTCGAGGGGAAACTGATGACACTCAAGGCGAGAACGGGTGCGCGACGCTGCATTTTGAGCTTTCTGGGTCTGGCAAGGGGTTTCTCTTCGCCGCGCTGCTTGAACCTTTTTAGCCTCTCTGACCACCCCCTAAGACCCCACAGGGGCCCTAAAGCAGGCCATACTTTTGATTCAGGGTCCGTGTCGTTGAAGCTTCTCGCCTGGACGTCTCATGCTGTCGTCTGCAGGAAGATTCTGCTTCAGACAGACGGCCCGCAGGTGCTCCAGCTTCCTGAGGTGTTCGAGCTGGAAACTGTGGTGGAGGCTGGAGTGGTTCTGCTAGCAGCCGATCTTTCAAGTTTTGTTCATTCTGCATTCCAGCGTCAAGTTCTCGTACACTGCAACTTCCTTCATAGCGGCCAGCAGACCTCATGTGCGCAAGGCAACAGTACCAGCGGAATGCTCTGCAGCTCACAACTCTGCAGACCACAGAATATTTGATCCAGATGCTCTCTTTGCGGATTGAAGCATCAAAGGCGAAGCCACGTCCTTGGATCTTTGTTTGCTACGTGATGTGCCTCGCGTGTAAGTCCCACGCAGAGAGATGATCACTGGCCTAGCTTACGACACGTATGGATCGAATGAGATGCGCAGCTCCCTGAATGGCAATCCCATTTGGATCTGCCTTTCCTAGCACGTCAAGCATCGCCCCGAGAAGTCGCTGAGATCAGGCCAAAGACATATTTTGAGCCAAGGCACGTTTGTATTCGTTCTTCAAAGTTGAAACCGAGCTTTTGTCAAGCCTGTCTAGCTGCCGAAGTAGAAGTAGCGCACGCCTGTTGCTTTCCAGCTGGAGCAATGGAACTTTCTTGGCCAAGCACCTGAAGCATTGTGAGACCCGCCGCGACAAAGCCACCTACACCAGGCTACACGTAAGCAAAAGCCCTTTGTGTTGGCCCCAGGCCACTGAAAACTTGCGCTGCCAGGGCACAGCTTCATCAACTCATCGTCTGAGAGGCATTCTTCCGAATCCTCATCCTCCTGCACGTCTGACCCTCACGACATCCCCAGGTCCACACTACGGAGGAGGTCGCCATGCACACTTGGCCTAAGAAAGAAGAAGATGACGAGCGAGCTGCTGGACTAAGCCATACTCCGCACTCCGTTATTCATGAGCCTCCCCGAGCCTCCTCGTCCTCATCGTCCTCGTTGTCCAGCTCCTCCAGTTCTGCAGCGTAGCCTGACTTTTTCAAGTGGCACGACATGCGTGTGTTGGCAAGGTCAGAACTTCACGGCAGGCGGACGCAACTCGTGTCACAGGGAGCGGCATGCAAGTGCCAGCACTCCAGAACGATGCGGAATCAGAATGGAGTACAAGTTAGAGGGTCCTATAGGTGAGGGGAGTGCGGGGCGTGGAGGTCCGCGGAGCAGGGGTACCCACCTGCTTTGAATTCTTCTGGGCGGAGGCACGGGGGCGGAATGGGGCAGAGGGTGATGCAAGACCTCAAACTGCTGAAACCTCGAGATCTAAGGTCCCAGAATTTCAAAAAGTAGAGAGCCTCGCAGAGCCTCCCACCTTGCAAATCCGAAAACATCCGGAAGATGGGCAAATCTGGACAAGGTTGAAGCCGAGCTTCTCGACATGACGCATGCTCTCGGAACAATGGGCTCCGGAACGGGAGTCCCCACAACTCTCCAATCCTGGCGCCAGGTATTGCTTCCGAGTCTTCAAGAAGGTATGCTGTGGTACATGAATTCATGGCTTGGCGCCCTAAGCAGGTGGCCTTCCAAATGTTCTCGGCCGAAGGGGCACTGAGCTGCACATGGTGCTTGAAGATGCTGTTTGGGTTCGGCCCACCGAAGCCAGCCTGGAACTGGGATTTGTGTTCATGCTGCCTGGCAGTTCGCCCTGGACCTACGAGCAGCACACACACAGATATATATATATATATATACAGATACCTGCATAGTGACTTTAGTGTCATGAATCTGAGAAACCAGCACGCATCGAAGTGGGAACCGGGCCTTGCCAACTTTGGCGTGCCCAAATCCACTGGCAGGATAGCCGTTTCGTGGATAGTGTGCACCTGCTTCAGCTTTCAGCTACAACGCGGCGAGATTGCCGAGATGCCAAAGGCTACTCCAGTGTAGGAGTTCGGCCTTTCTGCACGTCGAATCGGCTTGGCGTCTGGCCTCAGACACTGAGGCGCGCGCCCGCGGGCCTACAAGCCGGCTACAAGGACTCAGGAAATCTGAGGCATGAAGAGTCATGACGAGTCATGAGGAGTCTTCAAAAAAATGGCAAGCGAGCTAAGCGCCGGAACTCGCTTCATTGGCTGGCAGCCGATCCCTCAGCGCCTGCAAGGTCTCGGGGCTGAACTTCCTGAGCCCCGCAGTGTCTCGCAAAGTGCACACGTTAAAGCCTTCTGTAAACTGATGTAAACTGTTGATTGCAGTTTCCCCTACATCGGCCTTCTTATTGGTTCTTCCCATTGCTTCTGAGATGCAGGAACCCGGCACTTTGCAGCAACTCGTTGAGGTTGCCTAAGTTGCTTCTGTGAAGCCGCGAAGATATCAGCAAAGGCAACTGAGCCCCCGCCCTCAGCGCATCCCAAAGCCCATTCCCGTCCCGACTCATGCCGAAGTCACTGAGAGAACTTGAGAGCTCCTCCTGACTCTGGATGCCAACCTGCATGCGCATCTTAAGACCTGTTGACACCGTTTGGACGAGCTGGACGAGCTGTCAGCTTTGAGAACTGTGCTCTTGTGTGGCCTTCGCCAGCTTGCGCTGAACCGCTGCCAGGTCCTGGCAAACGCCGCAGTGCCACAAAGACACATGAGAAACACCATGCAAGTCAATGCAAGTGCAAGAACTGCCAAAGGATTGCCAAAGCCACATTGTTTGCCCATCAAGCAGAGAAGTAGGATCGAGGCCTGCTGCGTCCAGGCAGGCTTGGCCTCGCGCAGGACCCGGATCAAGTCGGATTCTTCCATCAAGCCTGTCAACTCGCTTTTCTCACTGCTGCACAACTGATGCATAGGAATATGCCGGAGTGGTATGGGATGCCCATGACTCTCGCGATGCGCAAAGTGCGTGTCCTCGATCATGGCCGGATCAATCGGTCAAGGCCGACATGCGTCCCCGCTTGGAAAAGTGCCAGCCTAGGTCCTGGCACACTTGGTTTAGGGTTTAGGGTTTAGGGGTAAGGGGTAAGGGTTTAGGGTTTAGGGTTTAGGGTTTTGGGTTTTGGGTTCCGTGTCAGGTGTTGCGGGCTTGCTACTTGCTGCAAGCTTGCGCTGGCATTTTGCAGACTGCAATGCCCAGTCACGACTCATGAGGTCCTTAATGTGGCAAGCCTTGCAATGTTTGGGGCGTAGCTTACTCACTAGATGAGTGTCCTGTGCCATTCATCTGGTACCAGCTATCAACAACCCAGCTGCGCGCATGAAGATTTTGAGCCGAATCCGAAGAAACATGAATTAACCGAGGGATACGGCTGCGCATAACAGCACGAGATCTACAGAACCTATGCCAAAGTTAGCAAACGATACGTTCAAACAACAGCGCCGTTTGCAATACACCTGATGAAGGCAATCATCTGGGGTCGCGACACCCTGACGTGCATCCCCTGCAAGGCACCAAGAGCATCTTTCTTCATGCAAAGCTGTGCACAATGCACCCGGCAACACTCAAGTTGCCTTCTTCGGCCCCAGCGGCGGCACCTGCCCGAAGAATCCTGGGCGAAAGATCCAAGCCGCAGCTTGCGCATTGTCAGTGGGGCAAGATTTTGACCTGAGGGCGAGTCTCCTCTTGTGCCCGGTCCATGAACTCCTGCGTGGGTGAACCCAACCTGCTTGAGCTGGCTTGCGAACCATGGGAAATTGGGCACAGCTCACAAGCTTGCGTGTGTGTTTGTTTTACACGTGGGCTGTTGCTCAGCCGGAGCTGTCAGCTGCTAGGACGCAGACGATGCTATCACTCTGCTCCGGGCTGCCGACCCCATCTGCTGGAAGATGTGTCGAGTTCCCCAAGCACCAAAGTTATCCACACGGATTTCCCGAACAAACTGCATGAACCTTGATGAGAACGCGCACAGGCACAGAGTGGCACAGCAACTCCGAGCGCACGGAAGTCCCCAAGGGCTTGGCACAGCCATCGCGGAGTCCTCGAGCCCTGTCGGCATGAGGTCTGCGAACCTCCAACGGTCCACCACATCTCATTCCAATTCATGTTTAGGCAGCTTATCCCACTTTGTTGATGCCTGGCAGCAGAACACCATGGGCTCACAACACCACGGAAGATGCGCTAGGTTGACGAGGATGTCTAGTCACGGGCGCGCAAGTGCTTCGCGTGCATCCCGGCCTTTGTGCAAATGGACGAAGTGCCTCTTCCAGCTGCGGCTGGCAGCCCAACTGGGCATCCGCCTTTGCCGGCTCTCCAATATTATTCATGGAACGGTGCCGGTACAGCAACAAGCCATGCCCCAAAGGCGTGATGTCGTGCCATGTTGATCGTGCTTTCAATCATGAACTTTCGGGACCGTGCCAGGATCCCCAAAGACTGCGGCTCTATCTCGTATAGCCTGCACAGCTTCGGATACGCTGGGGGAGCATCGGGGATATGAGGGTGCGGGGCTTGCCGCAACTCGAAGGAAGCCTTCTTGTCCCTCACAGTGTTTAGTTCAAGGTGGCTGCATATGGAGTTCGACTTGTCCTATGGGATTCCACAGGTGACAATCCACTGAAGAGGCAAACGAATGCCTTTGCATGACCTCCTTGGAAGTGGCGTCCGACAAGATGCGGCCCTGCAGAGTGAAAACAACGAAAGAGGGTACCGAGTAACGGTAGTACTAGTAAAGTTCAGGACTCGCCAACAAGAACTGCAAGCAGGAGCGAGTCATGTCTTGTAGGTTCAACAGAAGCAAGCTGATGACGTTCTTCCTTGTCATTTTCTTCTTCTCTCGTAATTAGTCGACGGGTTAAGTGCGTGTCCCTTGGTCCGCGCAGCTGAAGAACCCGCTCTTCCCTCCCTCATTCCTTCCCTCCCTCCTTCCTTGACCCCAAGGGGTCGCCGTGAAGGGCGCATGTCACGAGAGTCGGGGAGGACACGCTTTGAGTGGCATCTTGGTGTCTCCTTTTCCAATGAGCTTTTGTATCGTGGTACAGCAGGGCTCTCTCTCCCCCTGTTCCTTTCCGTTTCTTCTTCCATGGGCGACACTTCAATTGAGACAGCAGCCCGCCCGGCCCCGGGCACGCCTTTTTGTTGAAGGCCGAATGCGCCCAAGCTGTGGTTGCAAGGCCTGGCGAGCACTGGATGTGGTCTTCATCAGGGGCCGGCACAGCATGGTGGATTGAAAGTCATGCAAGCCCAGTCAAAAAAAACTTGAAAGCCATGTTCTTCGTGCAGGCCAGCAGTCCATCGAAATCTCATGCAAACCAGCCAAGCTGGAAAGTGAAACTTTGAAGCTACAGCGGTCGCGGGGCCGACGTCTCAACATCGACATGCCGCTGCACCACGACACGGGCTCGGGAGTGGAAGATACTAGCGGCATCCCTGCATGTAATCAGAACTTTTGGTCACGGGTGTCCAGCCTGATGCAACTGGCACGCTCTTTTCAGCTCCCCACAATGGCACACGTTTACCCTTCACGTTCACCAAACGCAGCGACCAAAACAACCCTCCCAATATTGCCTCTCCACAAGGTCCTCGTAGTCAATCTCGGCAGTGGATCCTTCTTTGTTCTTGTCGGCAAATTCGATCTGGGTGCCCAGCACAAATTGTGACGGCTTCGGCCAGCGATTCTGCTGGGCGAGCCGCTCTCACATGCACTGCCTAATTACCCCGACCGTGCACCCACATAGCGATGCAGACGTGGAGCAAACTGATCCGCTTCCTCGTCATCCAGCGGGTCCCCTAGTTGCATCAGCACCTCAGCATGTCGACTGTCATGGCAGGTTGAAACATGCAACATGAGTCTGATCTCGGCAAGTTCTCATTTTCCCTGCAAAAGTCGTGCAGGGCACATAGCGCAGCTGCGCCAGCGTGATGGTGCCCTTACCATCTTTGTCGAAGGTCTTGAAGGCCTCATGGCTGTCTGACTTGTACCGACGGTCGCTGCCACATCATGCTGTGTAGGTGCGGCTGATTCGATGCAACCACAATTCACTCTTTGACTTCACCCTACATCAGTTTGCTCGAGGCAAGTGCTCACCACAGGGCTCTTTGTTCTTGGTTTATTAGGCTTGCACATTCGTAGTGGTTGGTACCACAGCACCCCAAGTCGGAAAGCCTTCATTTTATCATCTCCACGCAAGAGCTAGCTATGCCTATACAAGATCGCTCTCAGAGGGTATGTGTCCTTTCACTTGTCCAGCTTGTTACAACGTCTTGCGTACACTTGATTTGATCGAGTCAAACGTGTGATGCATCGGTGGACACCTCGATGAGCTGCTCTTTGCGCAGCGCATCCTCGCGCGACTCGCAAAGTTTGAGGAAGGTCTCCAGCTGGAAGTGGCCTGTGCGGATACTCACGGACATGCATTTCCACTTCTACGGAGCATGCAATACATGCTATCGGCGGCTGCGAAATCCCCAGTGCTAAAACAACTGTCACTCTACAATTATTGGCAAATCTTAGCCTGTTCCAGTATCGTTCTCCTCAATGATACGCCGAATCTCCCCCTCAGTCGGGTTTTGGCCTGGCGCGCTTCAACATCAACATCCACTGGCCCATTTGTTTTGCCATCTTCTGTTCGGGTCCACGTGAACACATACGCGTTTTCCACAGGGCAGCTACCTCCCATCACGTTCTCCAGATGCACTGAACAGGGTCGTGGCCTATCGATCTCCAAAGGTTGGCAAAGTCCGGCTTCCAGGGTATGTAGCCCTGCTGGTGCCTCTGGTCGGCCAGGTGCGACTGCTGCACATTGTTGCACACATCATCACGCCGTCATTTGTGGCTATACAAGGGCATAGCTACACTTTCTCAAGGCCCGGACTTGTCCCAAACATTGAAAGCCTTCACGGGGTCAAAGGGCTTGGGGTATGAAAATGCTTGAGATTGCTCGCAAATGTTCCGCACACCAGTCAACACTGGCACGGTCACTACAGTATGGACTCGCTTGACACATGAGGGCCAGAAGCCTGTGGAACTACATTCGCACATCCGCCTCCGTGAACTTGACCTTGTCTTGCGCTGGTAGCACATCGCTCTCACCAGCTGGGTCAGCCATGGCCTGCATCAGCAAAGCTCTGAAGATTGGAATGGCATTAGAGTCGCCCGGCACCGCCCGGCACAAAAAAAGCTTCCGGGATTCCATGCTGGGCCCGGGGCCGCCGCTGCTCCAGGATGGGCCCAGGCCAAGAGCTCTACTGCTTTGAGCCTTCACGAGATGATCACAGGCAGCGGCGCAGCGCATGAAAACCTGGAGCATGGAAACCCAGTAGGACAAACAAAGAATGCGGGCTTGGCACGGCAAAGAAAGACTTCTCCTGCGGCAACTTAGCCAACGCCTTGAGGAGCAAACTCTGGTAGCTTGACCTCTGAGCTGTGGAATAGTGGATGTCAGAAATGGGATCTTACGTCTTGCTTGATTGAGAAATTTTCGAGCTTATCCTCCCTCCGTCCGTAACGCCGACGAGTGCAAACATTTCGCCCCCACCATACTAATCTCAATCCCGAGCTAACCAGAACAAGTGACTTCCAAGTGTCAAAAGATCCTCAGCCACTGAACTGCTGCGAAGACCAAGCCGAGCACCAGAACTTCTGAGGACTGCGAGCCCATGATCACCGAGCCCCTGGCAAAGACAAAGGAATGAGAGGCCCCATGGCACGCTTGTTCCATAAGCACACACAACTTGATTGCTCTGGACTCTAGAGGCGATTTACATTCTAGGGTGGACAAGTTGCGCAACCAACAGGTTTCAGGCCCACGCTCATGACCAGTTTTGCGCGCCAAACAAGCATGCCCTTCCAGATTCATGGAATGCCAGTAATCATGCTTGAGGTGCATGAGGCGGCATGTTGCGAACGACTGCGCGCTGTTCGCCAAGTCCTGCTGCAAGGGAAAGCGGAGTGTGGACACCGCAAGTAAAACAGCTGAATGAGATTAGCCCGCAAAAACATCCCACCGCTCTGCCAAGCAGGGCACCGTCACCCGGCGTCACACTTTTCGGACCTCTACTCACGCCTCTCCTCACTAGTCTACCTCCTGCACCACTTGTGCAATAAAGCATGCCAAATCTCGAAGTCGCAATGAGGCAAACTGCCTGGGAGTTGAACTCCCCCAACAAGCGCAGGGACGCGGTGGAAACCGCTTGCAGCAAAGGCCTGTGTCCTGCAGCGGGTGCGAGCGCTGAGAGAGGCGGAGAGAGGCGGGCCCGAGCTCTCCACTCAGAGAGAGAGAGAGAGAGCGAACAGCGCTTTTCAGGCAAAGAGAAGGCGCTTAAAGAAGAAGGAGAAAAAACGATTATGGAAAACAAGAAGCTCTTGGCAGAGAGGTATGTGATAAGTTAATGTAGAAGGATTCATAAGCGATAGCCGACCGGATTTGGTTGATGTGCAGAAGCCACAGTTGCAATGCCCGCTTTCGCCCAATGCCTGTGAAGCTCAACGTCGCAAGCGACCAGACCGTGCCCGAGGGGTCATGCGGATTTGATGCGTCGATGTCCTGCACGGGGTGCTGATTGGCTTCAACATGGGTTTGTGCTGTGCCATGCTCGTACATCTCAGATCATCTCAGCATCTCAGCATTACTGAAATAATTTGCCTAAATGCATTGCAAGAATGACCGGTCAGCGTACAAACTCAAACGCGCGTCGCCTTGATCGCCTCCACCACCAGCGCATCCATCGAGGGCGAGTGGCGGAAGCCAGGCTTGGCTGGGCTCTAAGCACTGTTGGAGGTCTCCTTCAAAAACTGCCACTTCCGTGCAGTTAAGAGCAGAAGCCTTTCACATGAGCATTCAGCATTCCACAGGAACATCTTCCGGCGACATTGGCAGAAAGGGACAAGCAAGCAGACCTCAAGACTCAAAACACAGAACTGCGGCACGGCGCACACTCCTGTGGCCGGGGTTCCGCCATCCGCACAGCTGCACAGGCGCAGGTGGCATGCAGCATCTGGAAGCCCTGGATCGATGCCTGGAGAGTCCAAGGTCTCACAGAACTCTCCAATGGCTCCGAGCCGTCCAACAAGGCTTTTTGCTCCCTAATCATATATGACATGCAAAAGAAATCTCAGTAGCGGTTGCAAAGTTCGACAGCTTTTATGAGAGTTTGTACTGGTAACAGCGGCGCAAACTTCTGAATATTGAAACGTCTGCAGGTAGCATTTGATAGAAATGTCTTGCCGTGTTACCTCGGACTTCCTACAGAGGGATGCGAAGGGGGCCTTGGCCAGGTATCAAACTGTATTGCCCAGGTTCTGCGGAGTGGAGTTTTTGAACTTGGCCTCAGTCGCGCCGCCACCCCGCCACCAAGATTTGAGAAAAGCCGGAGTCTGAAGCCTGCGAACATCCTATGCCCTATACCTTTGGCATATCATAAGGGTGCCACGATGCAGTGGGAAGACGGTGCCGCCATGAGGTTCGAGCTGTTGGCGCTCGACGTTCCTGGTAAACTCTCTATCCAAACGACTAGTGGAAGTGGCTGGGCCATACAGTAAGACATAGTTTGCAAACACCAGATCGACGTCTCAGGACTGGGCCGTAAGCCCAGCACAAGTTGGACAAGCCTTGTGGGTCGCACTCCCCCATCCTCGACACCTGAGCGACCAAGATGAACCCGGCACCATTGGTAGCTTTGTATGGTTGTTGTTCTGCAGAGATGGGCAGGAGCGCATAATGACAGGTGAGGAAGCGGCAGACTCCACGGCGATGGCGTCCAGCAGAGGCATGCGGCAGATGCCTCTTCGATTTGTTACGGGGAGAAGGGCTGGTTTGCCCGCGCCATGGGGTAAGCTGGGCAAACGTCGTTTGGACTTCTTCGGGGGGTTGGGGAGAGTGGGGCAGCCCCCCCCCCCCCCCCCCCAGTTGCAAAAATTCTCGCAGGACAGGTTCGGAAAGGATTCGGAACCCCTTAGCATGATGGGTTGGGGGGGGCAGGCCCCCCCTCCCCCCCCCCAGTACGCACTGCTCATTGAAATACCAAAGCTTCCGCAGCCGTTCTACGGGGAATAGCAGATGTCGCACAAGAAACGTCCACATGACAAGCATCCAATTCACAAATTCGACGCTCACTTGCAGCCCCGGAAGGTGCCAAGCCCCCCCCCCCAACCCCGCGGAAAACTTGCTTGAAAAAAGCACATCCCGTTCCAAACACGTCCTGCGCGCATCGTGTTTGCAACTGGGCGGGAGGGGGGGCCGAAAGAGAACTTGCATTTAAAAGCATAAGAATCTTTTCCTGCGAGCATTGTGTTTGCAACTGAGGGGGAGCTGCGCCCCGCCAACCCCCCGTTTTAGCATAAGATTATACCAAGAAGGGTGTTTTGCATGAAAAACAATCGAATCTTTCCCAAACCTGTCAGGTGAACGAATGCCTGTGGGCAAACCTCGAACGCAACTATTGTGCCTGTAACACGCTGCCATGCTTTCATTTCATCTGCTCAGCCTGGACAGCCTCCCCGATAGTCCGAGGCGAGAGCCGCGCCTGATGTTGCAGGTTCCCGAGCTGCATTGGTCGCCTGGAAGCCGAACCAAAGTTGCACTCTTTCTGGTACCAGGTACCAAATACCAGGGTTGAAGGGGAGTCAGGGTCATCCAGGGTTGCAGTAGCGTACTAATTAAGATCTTGGTTGTTAGAGTGTTAGAGTCCGGAACAGCTGTCGCGCAGTGTGCACGTGCAACAAAATGCGATTTTCTGGGTCCTCTCAGCTCCAAAATGCTCCAAGCATTCAACCCGAAGGCCTCAGGCAGCATCCAAGACTCTCAAGGACCTTGTGACACTTCATCTCAACAATGGGCGCGTGGAGCGACAAACAAACAGGCTTCAACGGGGCGCCGAATGCCCTGCCAGTGCTCAACACCCCAAAGTTGCGAGCATCGTGAGCATCAGCTGGCCGGGCTTGGGGCACGCGGAATGGCAGGAACCGTCCGAAAGGACGGGGCCATTGGAAAGACTGCCATGTTCTAACGAGTTGTCCTGTGCTTGATTGCTGGGACTCGGTTGTCGCCCCAACAAGTGAACATCACCAACAGTTTGACCACAAGAATGATTCTCCCAAGCACTCAAGATTCCAAGTTGTGACCTGCCCTAGCCACATTACCCTCTTCCAAGACTCTGCATGTGACCTATATGAAGCAACACTCACCACCAGCACTGTGTTGAACGGTGCGACCGAGTTCTGTACTTCCTGGGAAATGAGCTGTCCAAGCCTGGGCGTCGACTTGACAGAACAAGAATAGCAAGACCATTCATTCAAGTCGGTTGAAGAACTCCTGATGAAGACATATTAAGAACGCTAGGGGCAGGCTAGGGGCACCCGCACTGCGCGCTCCGAAGGGGGATTAAGTCCACGCCCTGAGAAAACCCCTGAACAAGGCCTTTTCTCCAGATCACGTGGCGCGCGTGCGAGGCCCGTCACTTGAACTGGCGCAGAATGAATCGAGGTTCCGCAAGTCACCTTCCAGGGATGGTGCAAGTCTGTTGAGGCTCAGGGCTCATCAACAACTCAAGAAAAGAGACGAAGGCCGCTGTTCTCATTGAAGGGAATCGAGGCGAGTGGTTATGGTACAGCCACTCTTCTCCGAGGCGATTCTCTCAACATGCACCGTTCTCATGTGGCGATGCAGCTGTCTCTCCTTGAGCGCTGCTGTGGCAACTTAAGGTTCATCAACCTACTTTGTTCAAAAGGCTGCCCAGCTCCCCACGGCCCTCCAAGTTCCGTAGCAAAAGAAAGAAAAGGCGATGGGCGCTCCGTCAACAATATCGGCCTTGCAAAACAGAAGGCCATTCCGCCAATCCCACAATGCTTACCAGCCGCAATCCACAGTAGTCTTCAGGCTCGCGGTCGCAGATTTTAAATGAGAAACGTGAAGACTCCCGGACGCGTCAAACGGCATCTAGAAGTTCCAATTCTCCATTTAAAGAGCCCTGATATTGACTGGCCCACCACCCTCTCTCGCTCACTACAGGCCAACGCACTAGCCCTCAACACAGCTGCTCTCAAATGGTGGAAGAACGGTTTGTTTGAACATGCCCGGCATCTTCAGGGGACCTTGCGATTCCGGTGCCTGGCCGGCTGGCTCTCCTCGGCTGGCCCAAACATCCTAAACCTCAAGTGCTACGGTTAGAACTTCTAGCCTGAGCATAACCTAATGTATGCCAATGCACGCAAACATCCCAGCACCGCGAGCACCGCTGACAATGACGCCAGCTAGGCTGCTAACCCGAGTTAAAGACCCTCTTGCGCGCCTATGAAGGATAGGAGGGATGGTCTCTTGGCACCGGTCTCGATGTCCTGGTTGCAGGAGAAAGGCTGCCAAGTACCATCACAAGACTTCCAAGCAAATGTTTCTGCAAGCCGCACGGGTAGCTCGAAAATGATGGTGAACGAATGTGAACGGGCTGTGCCAGGCCTCGAGAGGTCCCGGCGTCTGGAAACTTTGTCCAGCAGTCTCGCCCAGAAAATCAGCCTCGCCAAACATCTGTAGTGCACTCCAAAAGGAATTCATGAACAAGCATGAGGGGGGCTTCATCTCTGCAGCGGAGGCGCCATCTGAAGTGGCCCTTGGCTTGGGACGGCCTGCACGCTTGACAGGCAATATTTATCAATACTCTGAGCACAAGATCACCTTTCGAACCGCCTGGCTGCTGATCTCACCGATCATGGAATCCAGCCGTTCTGAGAAGCTTGCAGGACCGTCCTTCGGACATTCTCAGGCTGCAATCTTCTGACCCCAAGCCGGCTCAGGTGCAATTTCACGATGAGCAAGGGGCGCACGGGGCCAAAACCTCAAAAGATTTAAGAGGAGCCTGGATGGCCCAGAGTCCCGCGCCCAAAATGTAAGCAGTGGGAGGTCGGAGACCACTTGAGACAAGGTGGTGGCTCCAGCTGGATGCTGGGGTGTCTCAGGCGGCTCCCGGTTTTAGAGATCTTGCGGCTCAGCCCGCTTCCGCGCAGACTGCTGCACATCAAGTGCATGCGAAGGCAGGTTCAGGAGCGGACGTGTCCCAAATACTCGCACAAGAAAATCAAGGCCTCCAATCCGTCCAAAGTACGTGCACGGAGAAGCTGGCTTACCTTCATTTTCTAGCACCACTATGGATCATTCAATTCACCAAAGGCTAAGTTAAGTCGTTCCGAGCCAACTGCAGCCGAGAAGCTCGCGGCTGCAGTTTCGGAGCTCGCCTTGGCAAAGGGAGCGAATGCATAAACAAGACAAATGCAAGCAGTCATCACAAAAGCGCATATTAGCTGCGGAATCCGCCCTGGCCTGGTCGCAAAACTGTGCTGACCGTGCATGGAACGCTAACAAATGCGGAAATCGGAAAACAACCCCCGCGCATTTCACCTATTTTCCCCTCCTCTGCCGCTGCAGTGACTGTTTTCTTCTACCCTGCGCCTGCCCATTGGAGAGGAATGTCTCGTGCTATCTCTGGCTAACATGGTGCACAGCTTCCTTTACATTTCTGAAGTGGCTTCACCACTCCCGCAGCCTTCGCATCAGAACATTTATAACCTGCTTTATGCGTTGCCCCCCTCTCCCTTTCACACTTCGACACATTTTGCTCTGCCACACTCCAGAAATGTCCTTGCTGTCGCCTCTGCAATGCAAAACAATGCCTTTTTTCTGACCTTGACCTGCTCTTTCCTCAGCAGGGCACTTGCCAGGGCATCCGAATCCCTTCCGACTTGAGCCAAAATGATTCCTCTCGCCCTCTCTCCTCTCGTCGACCTCTGCCCATATCCGCCCTCTGCTGTAGTGAAGCCAGGCACCCTTCCTGTTGCGCCACCCACCACTCCTCCGAAAGTACAGCGTGGATTTCAAGATTTCAAGACGAGAGATGACCCCGCCAAGCCCTTGTGCCTTCACATCTCCAACGGCGTCCTCCAGCTTACACAGACGACCTGGCTGCATGCAAAACCAGCGGCCGCAATTTTGGTACTCCGGTACTGGCATTGAAGCGTAGACTCAGCAGACCAGCATGTCAACCATGGACCTCTCCAAATCACCCCTCAATCACGGGGCAGATGCCATTGAGGTCACGCAGGCTGGCTTCCAATAACTCTGGAGAAGTGCAGCTCAACTGGCAGTGCAGCTCCTTCGAGCATGCCGTTCAAATGTCGTTGAAACACCGATGCAACGAAAGAAGATCATGCATGGCTCTATGTGATCCAATGTACCTAACACTTTGATGCGGCCAGGGCTGGGAGCTCACAACGAGTCCTTGAGAAGCTCGAGGCGTGGCAATGTGCGATTGCACCAGAGCTCCTGAGACACAGCAGCTCTTTTAACTGCGGCAGACAACAACTTTCAGGTCTTCTTAACCTCTTGAAAATGCTGCAAACGCCACACATGACAGTGTGCCCAAGACTCAGTTATGTCACTGATGGCTGCCCAGTAGGACAGCAAGTCGTCCTGGCAGCGCTGTGCGCAACCATTCCCCTTCCATGCACAGAGTGGAATAGAGCTGACTCAGACCTCATGTTCTCAAGGCTTGGCGGCTTGAACCAGCAAGTTTCGTGTCCTTGACAGCACCGACAAAGGTCTGCATCTCCTGCGCTTGGTGAAGTTCTCGTCGCATGGCGATGAGCGCACCTGGCTGCAATATACAGCAAGTTTAGGATTCAAAACTGAAGGTCTCCTGAATTTCCAGTTCATCGGCAAGCAGCTGATGCGCTCGATGCGAGCTAGAAGCACGGCCAAGCACACGACCTCCATACAAGCGCAAACAACCCTCGTCAATGAAAATCAAACCCCTCCTCGCAGTAATCGTTTCTGGTGCATGATGTGAATGGCATCGGTTTGTAAACATGGAGGCACTGTTCTTGGCATCAAGCACCCCCTTGTTCAATCAGTAGAGGTAGTGGCTGCCAAGAAGAAACTACAGTTCTGCTCATTGCTTCATTCCTGCAGCTGTCCCCTTTCTTCCCTCTGCCAACTGCAGCTCAGCCACGTAGATCACTAGGGGCGCCGCGTCCAGGGCAAAGTCGACACCAGCCTTGCGCCAGGTCCTCACATGAGAAGCCTGCGAGGTTGCCTCTGAAAGGCCTTTGTCACTCATCTACCAGGCACCTGCCATCACCTCCCCACTTCCCGCGATCGTCTCCTATCAGCGCTTAGAATTGGGAAAAGCGCCGTGACTGCGATCCTTAGCTGTTCTCAAAACTACGCAGCACATGGGGCTGTCGCATGTGGCATGAACACTGAGATCAAGTTTGCTGCTGGGGAACCCTTCCGAAAGTACTTTTTGTGAAGAGCTGATGGCGAATGACAAACTATGGTATCCACGTCGTGCTATCCTGAACGCTGTTGCTTGCGGCAGAGTTTCAGCGTCGTGCCAACAAGCAATGCCAGCAACAGCAAAGCGTGGTCGACACCTCAAGTGATGATAAATGATGACCATGCATCTCACTCCCTTGACAGAAGTAACGCATCACCTATCGCCTATGCCCTATGCAGCCATAGACCGGACAGCAATCTAGGCTTTGTGGGCCAGTTGCTCAGCAGCTCCAATCGGCACAGACAGCAGGAGAAGTCACTCAGACGCTCCTGCCCAAGATGTTTGTCATATGCATCAAGGGAACCCATCCACTCTGTGTCTCCAGATTTGGTTCAATCGTCAAGAAGTCAAGTTCACAAGAAAACAGTTAAGCCAGCTTCATGCGCTCCAATTGTTGGCAACTCTCACACGATGCGGCTCTCCGGACACTCTCGCTACACAAACAACTTCAGCACACACGGAGGCACTTGTTCCAAACTAGAACTTTATTCACGGCCATGACTCTGTTGGGCTTGTGAGCGTACGAGCAAGAGACAATGATTGTCAGGAGTCTGCTGCTAAAGTACCAAAGAGGATCGAAGAGGTTCTTCAACTTCCTTTATGAAGACTTTCCACTGGCGCATCAAGTGCTTCTAAGGAGCAACCTTTCCAGCCAGTGGGTGGTGACGCACGGGTCCAACGTGAGACGGATGATTTCCCAGACATGATGGATGAGTTCTACAAATTTCATGGATAGCTTCGGAACACGCGCAAAACGCAGCTGCTGCTCGGAAACCCCAGCCGTAGCAGTAAGTTCCGCAAAAACCCGGATTACGCAGCATTTCTTGAACCCTCGACTATTGACTAGTACATGTTGCCTAAACATACAAAGCCCGCGTGTTCCCGTCGCCACATGTATTGTACTAACTCAGACATGCCTAGTGACTTGCAACTACACCGCAGGCTCTACAGCATTTTTTTCAGACTTTGCAATCGGAGACTTCCAGCTTCAGCGATCGCTCTGCACATTGCAGACGTCAGGTCTTAAGCTTTGGGGAGCCCGAGAACTTTGCAAAACTCAGGGTCCTCGGAGGCAGTACAGTCCAAGTAGCAACGCCCAGGTAGGCATTGCAACCACGATGACCGTCGGGAGCCCCGTGAGGGCTCTCGCAAGCTCTGCCTGGCCGAACTGTAGCTGAGTGAGCCACGACGGCATAAAGCTTGCTGCATCCTTGCTAGCTGAAAGGCTTGCTGTTTCAGAACGTTTTTGTCCCTGAAACCTTTTTGTGCACCCCTGCACCTAATATGCTGTCGTCGCCCAAGCGTTGCAGCAGGCACGGAATCTTTCAGCGCATGCACGGTCTGAAGATGAGACCTCGACCGGGACACTTGAAACCTCAATTCAAACTCGACAACCGAACCTCATGTGAAATTGTGCTGAGCTCCTACAAGCTGCTCGTAGGAATCTCCCACCACCATGCCAGCAGACCGCGTGATGCTTTGAGCTGCTCTCAGGAGCTCCTGTCGTTTGCAACTTTTCTACTAGATTAACCCCGATCCGGACATAGCTGGTGGCTTGACTGCGCTGCGCAAATATTGCAGTAGCCGATGCGCGAAGCGCTTTCCTGTAGCGGGACACTCACCCGGCATGCGGCAAGCGGCTTTTGTGTCTACTGGATGGCGTGTGTAATTTGGATGTAGCGAGAGTCCTCTGCTTGGCAGAACTCAAACAGTGCAAACAAGAGCAAAACTAGAGGCCGATGTAAATACAGGCCAGTTCTCACGGTATGCTGCGAAAATGAAAGCAATCATTGCACGAAAAATCTGTATCCGATGCAGGTATTTCAACTTTTGGCACTCTGTTTCAGAGGCTGCTAATGAAGAGACCACAACTGTCGCTCTGACAGCAGGTCTGTGAGACATCCACGCATTCATAGGTCCTCAAGAAACTGGTTGCCGGACATTCGTCGCTTGCGTGGGTCCTGGTCCCGCGGGTCAACATCGTGACGCTCCACATCGTCCAGAAGTCCCGGAAGGCTTCCATATGGCTGGTAGACCATTCCCTGAGGTACATGAGGCGGTGGTGGCATCTGGGGTTTGTGTTCCCGCACCTGGTCAAGGAAATCAGTGTAGAGATGCGTTCGATGTGAAGACCCCCCCCCCCCCCTAAATAAAGTAGAAGCATTGAGAATGGTCTCAATCAGCTCGCGTAAAGCCTTGAGTTGGGCTCCTGGAAAGCTTGGCTTGAACATGCTCTCAGAGTTAATTGAGGCTTCAGGGTTCTTACTTCGTTTTTTTTGAAGGAGCCCTCCACGAAGCGGACCGAGGAGGGGAGGGCGGGACGGGGGAGGCGAGAAGGGGGGGCGGGTTGGGGGGGGTCGCTACGCTAATCAGGAACAATACAAAGGAGTTCATGGCCTATACCGGATACCGGGCTTAGACCCATTGCCTGTGAGGCGATGGTGTTGCTGCTCGCCGTGGGATCTGCAGCATCATCTTTGCTTCCCTGAAGCATTAACTTCTGGATGCGTCTCGTATGGGCGACAACACCTCTGCGAACTGCAAGCCGCACACAGAAGCGCCGCACAATCTGTCCAAGCTGTGGACAAGTCAACTTGCGGCGCTCGATCACTCTCATGAACTTCCAGCGCGTGAGATTCAAAACCTCCAGGTAAGTCAGCGCGAAACCTCGTACGGGCCGAATGAGTGACGGGTCGGAGAGAACAAAGTCCTCACCCCAAACCGCACCATTGGTCCCGACACGGCTGTTCAACGCTACCAATCCTTTTGAAAGGATGTAGAGCACCTGCACATTGTCAAAGCGCTCGCCTTGTGCGAATGCTCCGCACTCCAATTCGCGAGATATGTCTGATATGCACATGCGGTATGAATCGGTGTCAATTCCTTTCGCTTCGTGGTGCTCCATCAGAGTCATAAACTGGCTGAAGAAAGTCACTTTCCTTGGCGGGCGAACCCGTCGGCACGACACTATGTTCCATAATGATCTCCAAGTCCGACATATGACGATAAGAACATCATAAGAAACAGTGCAAAATAACTTGGGTCATGGGCATTGGCGGCCTAGAAACGTGATCCAAGCCAGGTTGAGGGCAATGCACACCTCAGACTGGAGCTGCGGGCTCATGCTGTCGCGAAGCTTCTGCCTGGTCACGTAGAGCGCCTGCCGCAAGGGGTCTCGATAGTGTCCAGCCCTACAACTGCACCGTTTTGTATTTTGCTGAACGGTAGTGGCATCTGGCATCGACTACATTCAGTAAACCCTTGCACTTAACCTTTCGGCCATGGTGTTCATGTCTGGTCGTTCAATCCCTGCCTGGTGCCGGTTCTGCAGAAAAAAACTCCGCAGCCTGCATCTCAGCTCATATGGGAGGCCCTGCTCCCACATCATAGTATTCAGATCGGTCATTTTCTTCCGGAAAGCCTGCCGCGGCAACACAGAAAAACAGCCGTTTGCTGCATCAGTTTGGCAAAACTGTCTCCTGCTTATGTCCGTCTTTTTGTTGCCCCCCACCCCAATGGCCTGACTTTCAGAATTCATATCGCTGACGATGGCGCACACTTCACCCAAAACGTAGGCCCAGCAAAGGCCAGCCTGCGAAAACGCAAAGCAACCCCTGACTGTTTGCAACCCATACGGACATGAATAACAGCAGGCAGGATGCCGCCAGGATGATCACTGTGCAAACCGTTCGCTCGAATAAATTCCTCAGCAGCATCGGTCAGTGAAATCGTCAAAGGCCGCTCATAGCCGATGCAGCTTTGCTTTCTTAAGTTGCATGAAAAATTAAAAAACACTTGCCAAGCAGTGCTTTGCGTCTTTGGACCGATGTCACCATAGCCAACGGAAGTCATGGTGTAGCTGCAAAAGTAGAAAGCGCTCAGGTACACTCGGTGGGGCTCATCTCTTGTGGTGATACCTGTAGCTTGCGGCAAGAAATTGAAACAAATTCCTGGCCTGCGATTTCAAACCGAAACCCAAAACCCCAACAGCCTAGACTGAGAAATCGTGTCGTCCTAGTCGAGGCAAGAGGATGACTCGGCACATCTCACTTTCACAGAAGCGACATGCTTCGTACGTGACGCTCAGGACATATCACAAAACTTAACTCCACAATCCATGAAAAGACCTGAATGAGGTCGTGCTGGGGCCTCCTTGTTCGCGGAATGTAGTCATGTATCGTAGACATTGTAGCTTCGCGATCATGCTCATGTTTCCGTGCGCAATACAACCTATCAAACTGTTCAAGACGTCATAGCAGCAAAGGCTGCATGTGTTACTTGGCACTCTTCCACCGTTGAGAGGCCGACCATGTTCCTATCGATGCCAGACATAAAAGTCGTTGCTTGCTCGCCGTGCCAAGGTGCCAAACTCGACGTCAACTACTTCAATATCGTTGATCCACTGCGGATATTCGGAGCTTGCCATCTGTAGGGTCATGGCCCACACGCAAGCAAGCCAATGGCAAACCTGGTGTCGCACAGGTGACTAGCCGGCAGTCCACCGGCACGCCACAATTCAGGAAGTGTCATGCACTCAGTGCACTCGCTGCGGATTGGAAATGCACGGGCACAAGCGCACACGGTTGTGCAAAACACATGCGCATGCCCTGCTGCTTTGACGCATTGGTTGTCATCTGCTGCGAAGCGTAGACATTGAAAGGCGCCAACAACTTATCGTGGAAACTGCAAGGCTGACAAGGCTTGCCAAGATGGAAGGTTGAAATGCCAGTTCGAGGGCTCGGGCGACTAGGGATGTGGGCGTAGCGTCTGCCTTTGCCAGCGTTGCTTCGGCATGTGAATCCTGCACGGGAGTGTTCCGTCTGCTTGCTAGGAGCAGCGTTCGAAACACACGTCAACGATCCTGCCATTATGATTTTGCCTTCAGTGGCGATGCTTCACTTACGTTACTGTTCCAGGCAACAAAACCACGAACTCACGCAGAACAAAGGCCGACCGTAGCGCCAAGTAGCCAGTAGCAAGATGAGCAGAAATCGAGCCAGCGCAAACTGCTGATACGGGATGGAGATTGCAATCTCGAGCTTGTGCAGCCACCTGGCACGTCTTCCACGCCATAGAACTTCGGCGATTCCAGCTCTGAGGCCCCAAAAAGGAACAAGCCTCCCTCAAAGAAAACCCGACCCACTGATATACATTCAAAAGATCACACCATCAGGCCTCGACGTCTTCAAGATCCTCATGAGCCTGAATTATTCAACAACCATGAGGCACAACAAGATGATCACACAGTGCCAGACCCTCTGCGGCATCAATTCAGACAGTGTTTTGTTGCTTGCTTTCAGATACCGGCTACAAAGCCACTCACACATGTGAAGGCGGTCGACAAGACTGTGCCCTGTGCTGCAGCAGAAGCTTACATCTTCATGGTTAATGATAGTGCCTGTTGAGGGTTTTGAAAAGTCATGGCGCCTGCATGTGGGTGGCTGCCTGGTGGGACGCATGGCACTCGAAACAAAGATCTATACTTTGCCAGGGTGCTTGAGCAAACGCAATGCCCGGATGGCTTTGGTTGCCTTGCCAACTCCAAGCCCTCCTGCTCCTGAGGTTAGCTCCTGGGCTGGCAGAGACTTTGCAGCGCTCCAACTCCGTTGTCAACTGGCAACATGAAGGCACTTGCTGGAGCTGAGGTGCAATGATGTCGAAAGGGATCAAGGTCAAAGTGTCAATGAAGAACCAGCTGGATATGTAGTGCCGTGCAATCTTCTCCAAGCTGTCTTCCCACTTGATGCCGCGCGCTGTTGTCCGCGGATACCTGCACATCTCGATCGAAACAACAAGGCTTACTTTTGCACTCTCCGCAGCTTCTGCTCGTGTTTGCCAAGCCGACCTTCACTTATTTATTTCGTTCCCACTACGTCCGTCCGTCCGTGAGTGTGTGTGTGTGTGTGCGTGTGTCACAGATTCTGTGCGTGTGTCGTGTGTCTGTGTGTGACAGAGTGTGAGTGTGCGTGTGTGGGTGTTTGTGTGTGACTCTGTGTGAGTGTGCGTGTGTGTGGGTGTTTGTCTGTGACTCTCTCTGTCTGTGTGTGTGTGTGTGGGTGGGTGTGGGTGGGTGTGTGTGTGTGTGTGTCTGTGTGTGACAGTGTGAGTGTGTGTGTGTGTGTGCGTGACAGTGTGTGTGTGTGTGACAGTGTGAGTGCGAGTATGCGTGTGTGTGTGTGTGTGTGTGTGTGTGTGTGTGTGTGTGTGTGACACTGTGTGTGTGTGTGTGTGACAGTGTGTGTGTGTGTGTGTGTGTGACAGTGTGTGTGTGTGTGTGACAGTGTGTGGACACAGTGTGCGTATGTGCGTGTGACACGGAGAGAGAGAGTGTGTGTGTGTGTGTGTGTGCATGCGTGTGACAGTGCGTCAGTGGGTCAGTATGTCAGTGCGATAGTGTGCCAGCGCGTCAGCGTGTCAGCGTATCAGTGTGTCAGTGTGTCACTGTGTCAGTGTTGTGTGTGTGTGCGTGTGTGCGCGAGTGTGCGCGTGTGTGTGTGTGTGTGTGTGGGTGGGTGCGTGCGTGCGTGCGTGTGGGATGTGTGGGTGTTTATCTGTGTCTCTGCGTGCGTGTGCGCGTGTGGTGTGCGCGCGCGTGTGGTGTGCGTGTTGTGTGCGTCGTGTGTGCAGCGTGTGTGCGTCGTGTATGCAGCGTGTGCGCTGCGCGTGTGCTGCGTGTGTGCTGCGTGTTTGCTGCGTGTGTGCTGCGTGTGTGCTGCGTGTGTGCTGCATGTGCGCTGCGTGTGTGCGGAGTGTGTGCTACGTGTGTGCTGCGTGTGTGCTGCGTGTGTTCTGCGTGTGTGCCACGTGTGTGCTGTGTGTGCTGCGTGTGTGCTGCGTGTGTGTTTGCGTGTGTGTTTGCGTCTGAATGTGTCTCTACGAGCGGTGTCTCTGCGTCTGTGAGTGTGTTTGTCCGTCCGTCTGTCCGTCCGTCCGTCCGTGCGTGCGTGCGTGCGCGCCTGGGTGTGGGTGTGGGTGTGGGTGTGTGGGTGTGTGGGTGTGTGGGTGTGTGGGTGTGTGGGTGTCTGTGTGTCTGTGCGTCTGTGCGTCTGTGCGTCTGTGCGTCTGTGCGTCTGTGCGTCTGTGCGTCTGTGCGTCTGTGCGTCTGTGCGTCTGTGCGTCTGTGCGTCTGTGCGTCTGTGCGTCTGTGGGTCTGTGGGTCTGTGGGTCTGTGTGTCTGTGTGTCTGTGTGTCCGTGTGTCTGTGTGTCTGTGTGTCTGTGTGTCTGTGTGTCTGTGTGTCTGTGTGCATCTATGGATGTACGGGTGTGGGGCGTGTGCGGGTGCGGGAAGGGTGTCGGTGCGGGTTCGGGCGTGCGGGTGTGCCACACACACACACACACACACACACAGCCACCAACGCATGCACGCACGCACGCACGCACGCACGCACGCAAGCAAGAGGCAAAACTCAAGTATCGCAACTTCGCAAACCGAAAAAAAAACACTCAAAGAGTGAAGCGTTCTCCCAGACTTTGGGCAAGCGGCATGGTAAAGAAGTTCAAGACCACGTCGACCAGAAAGATCGTGTCCACCAAGCAACTGACAATCAACAGCATATCCCAGTCGAGTTCCAGTAGGCCCACTTGGTATGGAACAACCGTCACGACGAATGCCAAGGCGATGGTGGTGATCAGCTGCCACGTAGCAAATGAATTGCCCTGCGGATTGATGATATACCATGGCTTTCCTGACAAAGGCAACTCCAGGTCACAGGCAGGCCTCTCACCTGCACCTCATTAATTAGGCACTACCTGCTAAACCCTTTCCATACTAATGCGTCCGGATATGGAGAATTATTACGAATTCCTGGAAGCGAATGCATTTTAACGTGCGATCGCGTTTGGTCGCTCCCGATCACTAATGAACGCGGATGCCAGGCCGAACGCCTCCGAACGCATCGCGAACGCTGCGCGAGTGCCGCGCGAACGCCTCTCACTGTCCGAATGCTCCCGAACGCTCCCGAACGCTTGCGAACGCTCATTTTCGCGTGGCCGTGAGAATATGCAACTGGCCTAAAGAATTCGCACGAATTCTACAGAATCGGAATCATTACCACGAGATAGGTTTAGCAGGTACTGCAAGCTGCCCGCGCCCAGGACTGCGAAATGCACGGAAGTCGTATTGACATGGCCACGTATGCCACGTTGCTTTCGTTAGCCAAGCTGCTCGGCGGCTCGCCTGATGTCGTGCGAGTGGACCGAGTTCCTCGTATCACCGAGAAGCTGACCTTCATGGCGAATGCGTGCAGACTAAAGGAGCGATGCGAGCATTACAAACTTCCAAAGACTCAACAATGCAATCCTGCTCTGTTCAATTCTATGTTACAGCGTAATACAGAGAACCAAGTACATCCTGCGTCGGTGAACCGTGCTCTGTCTTCTCTGCACAACTCCGGAGCAAACCTTCTGACGCCAAAACATCAGCGCATGCAAGCCCACCTTATCATCTGCCTCCTCCTCTTCTTCTTTGCTCTTCCTGATAGACGGAGTTTTGCCAGCTGCATTCCTGGGCATTTCCATAAGCCCAGAGAAGAAGGCAGCACAATCTGAAAGCATTCCAGCAGTCAACACAGCCAATACCCATTCACTGCATGAGGGTTAGAACAACGTGCAGCCAGAAAGCACTTGCCACACTTGGGCCGGCTTCCCTGGACTACTGGCATCAGACTTGCTCGTACTTTCTCGCCTTGGTGCGTAGGCCACGTCAAGGTGACCCAATTATGCATTGTCACTATAACCTGGGACTAGTCCCAAGCTTAGCAAGATCTGACAGGGAAAGGTCTGCGGACTTAGTGGACAAGTCGCTTGACGGGCTCTGACTTGGTGGCGTTACAATCAGCTTCTGCTTTGGCGCCAGGATCAGCTTCTGCTTTGGCGACAACTGTCAGCAGGCAGATCAATCCCGAACATGAACAACTGCGGTTGAATGAACACACCATGCAGTCTTTTGGGACAAGCTATGCCCCCCCCCCCCCATCTCTGCTTCCCACCCACTGCTCATTTCAGATCATGTCCCCAACTCGAACTGAAGCGAGCTCCAACCCACAGGGCCTCGGAGCGAGGGGCTCACGGGACTGCTGGCCGGTATCGAGCGTTCAAGGGTCGTCTGCGCGATTTTCAAGCCCTGAAAGCAAAGGCCAGCAAAGTGGCGTCAACGTCAGGCCTCAATGCTTCTTTTGCTCTGCCTCGCCCTGTTTTGTTTCTAGTCTATCGCAACCTCAACTCCTGAATGCTTTGCTTGTGCATTCAGCTTACGACAGTCTTACAGCGGGGTTCTCGAAGTATGCCATCCTTTAACCTGTACACTGATGTACACTGCGTCGTCCCAGCGCCTGATTCTCCAATTCCAGCTCACGGAGTCGCGACGACTGGCGCTCCTTGGCAGAGCGCTCTTCAACATGGGCAGCTTGACGGTGTCACGTGGAGCGGGGGATGTCAGGGATGTCAGCAGAAGCTGCCAAGATTCAAGCTCCGAGGTGAGCTGGTGGAGGATCTTACGCCATTGGTCGGCCGCCATGGCGCTGCCTATCACTGCATTCTCCTTCAGAGAACGCTGTGGATGGGACGGCTGCGGGCACGTAACTCCAATGACCTGATTCAGCGGGTCGTGTATTTTCACGGTCTTTGGCCTTGGCCCGCTAATCTCTTAGATAAGGGTATCGGTGTGGAGCCAGAACTTGCTGTACAAGGGGGTTCGGTTCTTTGATCAGTCACAGGGACTCTCTAAACAACTCTTCGTTCACCAGTAACATCCCCCGTTTCGCACTCCATCACTGCACCACGAAGAAGGAGCATGTTGAAAATACCATGCGGATTCCTCTGGCGAGCTGCACCGGTCCAGCACGGAGCAATCAAGCTGCAGCGGCCTTCAGCTTTGCACAAGCCGGAGCTGCTGACATGTTCAACTGAGTTCACCTGGAAACGGCAACCTGTGTTAACCAGCTTCTGCTTGAGGGCACCTCTTGGAACAACCAATGGGACGGCAGACATGATTGCCACACCCGGCTGCGTAAACTCACATCCTTTTAGGTCCAGCAGATGCTTAGACCAATGTTAGAAGACGCTTGCAGATGCTGGCGCCCGCTGGTGACATCGATCGGAACCATAAGAATGGCCATCGCACACCCCCAATGCCATACCCTCGAAGCCTCTTCCCGGGGTCGATGGACGCTTCGCCATAGACTCGGAGCCAAAGATCGATAAAGCTGCGCAGTTCGCGTAGCAAAGCATCCTGGAAGAATCTCGCTCTGCAAGGGAGGGGGTTGAGAATCAGGCCGGGAAAGCCGCACCCCATGGGGACGCCCATGCGAAGATTTACACTTCAGTAGAGAGAGATCACTCACACAAGATAAGAAACCCCAAGGTGGACAGACTTTTGTTCTCAATCACCTCAAAATCCACCCAACCTCGTGGGCGCCGATATTTCCTGCCATTTTTGCATCATCTGGCATACATTTTGGTAGCAAATCCCGAAGGAGACGCTCGATTTTGATCCACGTGCCTTGGCAGAGCTCACCTGCCGGGTCAATTTTTTAGCCGTGCTGATGGACCGAGCCCTGCGATGGAGACCATGTTTTGCAAACTACATGTAAATAGAGATAGATAAATACCTACATATGTATTTATATGTGTATATATATATATGTATATATGCATACCAGATAGATGGATATGTATATATATATATACATATGTATATGCTACCCCCCCCCCCCGCGCGATCTACCTTTTTAAAAAGAGCTTCTTGGGTATAAACAGAAAATTCAAGGCTGAGCGCCGGGTAATGAAGGACAGTTATTGGGACACCCACTGCACAGGCCCCGATAAGCCAGCATTGGATTAATCTATTTTGAATCTTAAGAGGACAATGCTGTGTTCTTTGTTTTGATTATTGGCTTTCTCTAGGCCATGTGTTCTTTTATATAAAGGGAAAAGTTCGTGCTTTGTTTTCAGAGTGGGCTTTTTAGATATATAGTGTGTTACTATGCAAAGTATTAATCAGATACTATACGAAACGCCCATGCACAGTCTACGCGAATTCCATTATTATAGAGCACTAAGCAAACAGCTCAATCTGAAAATACGCACTATGAAAGCGGCTTCAATTACAAATGATGTAACCATTGCTACTGAAGTACCAATTAAAGACCACTTATGTACTATGTCTGAAAAGCACAATGTGCATAGACAAGCTCAATAATGCACATGTTTTTCTAGAAAAGTGGCTGTTGCCGCGTAAAGGCCATAGCACAAGGAAATTCACAAGCACAAGAAAATCCAAGAACGCAAGCTTTTCAGGAGGATGTCTGGTGAAGTTTGGATTTTACGGTTTTGGGATCTCCCTGGACAAAGGAGCCGTTTTGAAAACTTGAGCAAACAATTCTAGGCAATGAATGCTTTTTCTAGACAAACATTGCTTTTACCAGGCAAAATGTTGATCAACCATGCGAATTTCCTTCAAGTGAATACCAATTCTATGTGCTAAATAAAGCACACCCATCAAATCTTCATTCCATACAACGGAAATACTCATTACATAGTGATTATACCAATACAGCACTCTTTGAATGTGAGTAATCCACTATATTCAGTGATTTCAAATTACGAGACTCAGTGAATATAAACGAAATATGACTTAAATGCTCATTAAATAGTACTTGAATAAGCAGATGTTTACTTGAAACAAGTTTTTTCGTACGAATTGAAGACTATTTCTATACGACGTTACTATGCCTTAAACAGACAATTTGCATAGAAATGCCTTGAAAAGCCCGTTCTAATATCCTCTGCCTAGTAAAGACCAAAGTAGTAGGCGTGGGGGGAGGAAGGGGGTCGGGACCAATGATCAGAACATGAAACTAGCACTAGCTCAATTATGCATAAACAGTATTTATAGACGATCCCCAGAAAAGTACAATTGCATAGAAGATCACAACTTTCTTAGAAGCGAGGGGGGTTGGAGACTCAACGCGATGGAATGGAGCAGTCGCACGCAAGACCCCTAGCAGCTTGGATCAGCGGACCCTGTTCGAACTGCAAGACCCCAATGTGGACACCTATATGCCCGGTAGAAACATATTTGATGACAAGCTTTTGGGGGCAGCCTTCTGTCTCACTACACCTTCGTCCCCTTAAGTCCTGCTGGTGCACTGGGACGTGCGAGCAGCGGTCGGCTAGCTGGCCCAAAAAGGTGGCGAAGTCCTTCTTCCTGCGAGGTACTTCGAGAAAGCAGTTGAGGGGTGCTGGCATCGAACGGCGCGCGACTCTCAACTTCTGTTGGCAAAGCACACACACAACAAAGCAACACAAAGCAACACAAGCTCCACGCTTCAGGAAAGGAGTGCCATGGCCTGTCTGCGAACGTTCGTTCTACTAGAAGGATGTTGGACTCGGACACAAAATGCAGCTTGGCATCCTGGGCGCTGAGACGTGCAAGACAGAACGCGTCAGAGTGCAGCAGTTGCAGTTGCCTCAACACTCGCAAGCTAAAGCCCCAAGGCCACATATTCGCAATGACTTGTTACTAGAACCAGCCTACGAATCCTGCTAAGCTGAGGGTCCATTTCTTGGATGCACAGATGGTAGGCATCTGACAGCCGTTCCTTTTCCCGCTTGGCCTGAATACGCAACGCGAATCTGGGATCTCGGGCCAACAAACTCAAGCAAACCCAGCGCTGGCAAACCCTCAAATTTTTCCACCTCCTGCAGCCGTGACTGAATTCGATCGTCGTAGTTGACAGTGAGGCAGATCCTGAAGGACACTGTGATGATACACCCGTGCAGAAGGACAACTTCAGGATGCGAAATGCGAACATGCCTGCACAGTTTCGCACACACTGCAGCTCTGGATCAACTGGAAGGTGCAGGGAAGCAGGAACAGTGTGTCGAGAAGCTCCACTAGGCAGAACCTGGCAGCAACAGCCGCGTAGATGGAGCCATTAGATGTCCATGCTTCGCTGCAGTACCCGCCCGACGACTGCCCCGAGCAGGAAACACGCACCTTTCCTGAAACGACATTGGCAAGGCCCTCCTGAAAGTCGCACAAGCCTGTGCCTTCCTAACCTCGGCACCTTTTAACATCCTTCTGCAAGTGACTTGGTCCAAGAAGCGTTCTGAAGCCGTAACGTTGGTGCACGATGCAGCCATGTTGATACGTGCCAATGGCATCGCGGACCCTTTCATGTCAAAGCATGATTGGGAGTCTGGCTTCAACTAGGAGAGACAGCCAAAGCCCCGTAGTAGGCCGGCCCAAGATGCACAATATTCGGCAAAGCAGGTGAGTACTAGGCCAGATTCGTGTCACAAGCCCAACACAGCACTCGACGCAGAATGTACTCCGAGCGTCGACAATAAGATCCCAACCTCAGTCAGATGTTGGCTCAGAGAACAGAAGATAACAGAAGGTAAACTACTGGTTGGGCGAACCCTCGAAAACAATCAGGTGGCCCCAAAGGCCCCAAGGACTTCAGGTGGCCTGATTAGATTGCCTGGCTTCATCTAGATTCCCCTGTTTTACGGCTAAACCCTGTTTTGTAAACAAGAAGCTCTAGTTCCATTAATACGTACATATATACATATACATATATAGACAAATATATATATATATATATACATATATATATATGTGTGCGTATATGTATACATATACATATTTATTTAAATGTATTCCCGAAACATACCGAAACCCAACTTTTCAATCATACCTGAGCCCTAAGCCCTACTTCCCTGCCCCTAACCGACTGCAGCCTCCCAATTCGTTCTCGCAGCCACCCGCACCGGCAGAAGCATCAGAACTCACGAGGTCCGCATATTGAACTTTTAGGCGCAGGGTTACCAGTTCCTCCGGCTTGATGTGTTTGTTGAACCTCAAGCTCTAAGAAAATTGAAGAGTGTTCCAGAAGTTCTGAAAGTGTTCCAGTTTGGGGACGTATTCTGCATGGAATTCTGATCGGATGGGCAAAGGCCCAGGTCTCAGACACCAGGTCTCAAAAAGTCGCTCGTTGCCGGACTCGTACAGGACACTTTCTTGGAATGCTTTCTGGAGCGCAGACTTGAACTTGTTTGACACGAAAGTGTTGAAGAGCCGTATCTTAGTGGTCTGAACCTTGGTGGCTACAAGTGTTGATGGTGCTCATTGGTGGAACCTTGACGGCCAAAAAACTGGCTGCTGCATGTTGCGTGTGGGCGACTGGGTCTTATGAAGAATATTGCACAAGCCAAAAAAAAATGCCACGGTTCAGCTGCTGAGGCACGGAGGCAGCCAAGAGTAAGCTCACTTGGGTCATGTCATGGATATGTCCTCGGTGTTTTCGGTGCTTGAAGGAACAGCCCCTCAATCAACACGTAGCCACATCCCATGCAACATAATATTGCCAGGACTCGGCAGTGCAAACAGCTGAGCCGAGCAAATCCGGCACCGATGGCACCCATTTTTACTCTTCAGACGGGTGCACTAGTCTTGCTTGAGCTACTGGGTGGGAGAATGAAAGAGAGGATATCGTCGCGTCAGAGGCTGAGGGGTCTTGCGTTGCGGCCCTGTCAGCCCATCACAGCCCCAAATGGCTGCAGCTTGGCCTTCGCCGTTACAACGCCTTCTGACGCCTTGAACTGCACATCTTGATGCATCGCAGGCCAGGCCGAGCTCCGCACTTCTTCAAGGCTTCGGCCCCCGAAGCTTCAAAAAGCTGGTCCTTTGTTGCCAGAGCCACGTGAAATTCCAACACTCTGGATGAAACCGTGACCCAAACTGGTACTTTCGGGACCCACCTGGAAACTCCGGATTAACAGCATGCTTCGAGACCCACCTGGAAACTCCGGATGAACAGCATGCTACATCAGAGGAAGAACGAGCACGAAGCATCTGGCCGGTTCCGTGCCAGACGAGATGAGGTTGAGATTCAAACCGCGGGTAATGGGAAGACAAACAATCGTAAATGTGCTGTGGGGAAGGCTGGTGGGCTGGATGCTCGCAAGCTACAAACCGCCACAAGCACATGCAACGCAGGCATTTTGTTGCAGCTGCCCAGGCTAAGCCTGCCTGTCTGGCTCCCACGAAGCTTTGACTTGTTCAAGATTCTTCTTCTTCTTCGGGAGGCAGGACGTGATTTAGGTAGTCCCTGGCGTAATCGACGTCCCGCTGGTTTAAGAGAGTATGCACATAGTCTAGGGAGCCAAGAACCGCCATGTCAACATCCTTACGTGAACCTGGTTTAAAGGTTGGCCAGCCGGCTTTGCCCTCCTCGCTCTTCCAGAGCCTATCCCAATGCTCGCGCACATGCAGCTTTGCAAGGGAAACAACGACACTCCGCCGGCCATTGTGGACGTCAATCATCCAATCGCACTCTTCCAGCTCTACCGCACCCCAGAGCTTGCCATCCAGAACTACTTCACTTGCACATCTCAAGCAGAGGCGACCGTTGCTGAGCTGAAAGTCAACTTCAGATGGCCTCAGCTCAGCACTGACGGGTATGTAGATCCGTATCTCTTCATTGTAACGACCGGCAGGCTCCCAGGTGTAACAGGGTCGAAGTACTTCCTCCCAAGTCTCGACCTTGGCCTTTGCAAGGTACAAGACCAGAACGCGGCCTAAACCTTCTCGAGTTTCCAGCTCAAAGTATGTATCGTCTACGTCCGCGCAGCTCCACAGCTCTCCCTCAATGAGTGGTGGTTTGCCGCGCACACCGATGCGTAGATACCTCTCGCGAAGCTCAAGTTCAACATCTTTTGCAACAGTATCATCGGCCACCGGCATGGAAATGCGCAGTTCCTGGTCAGTGGCATCTCCTTGCTCCCATCGAAAGCTGCCTTGTAGCTTGCGCCGTCCAGTATGCCGTACACCAACACACGTCAGAGAGGCGACTGCAAATGTCAGCGATGAGGGTGCAGCCTTCAGGACACCCGAAGTAGAGGATGCTGTAGGTCTCAGCAGAGGCACTCGTGCCCATGGCTTTGCAGGGACCTGGACTCCTAAGTCCATCACATCCAACAGTCCAACAGCTCGCACTTTGTATACTTTTTGAATGCAACAAAGTTAATCGACACTGACACGGCTAGGTCATGCCGGCTAGTACAAATGTGACTGCTCATGTTTGCGTGCTCTTGCCAGCCAGAGAGTTGACAGTTGGGGTTCTGCCTCACAGCTGAACCAGATCGTCGCAAGCCAAGAAGGTCTTCAACACATGACTTCACGGACTTCACGCTGCCGGCAGGAGCGTCCAGCAGCAAGCCGCTGGTTCTGGCCGAGCAGCGCTCAAATGGTTTGACTTTGCGGAGCCCCAGCAGGTGTTCCCAGTGTCCTGCAGTAGGACATGGCAAAGTTCAAAACAGGGCAGGTGCACTTCAACTCGCCATGACCAGGGCAAACCTTGAGACCGACATCTACAATCTACACAACAGGTTTCCGGGGTCCTGGGGGCAATGCAGCTCCACCTGCAGCTGCGCAACAGCACATCACAACGTGTTCAGGCGCGAAGCCAGGGACCAGCTCTGGCCCACCAATGCTGTTGTGCAATGTCATGGACTTGGAGGTCACAGCTTTACGGTCATTGTGTGGCCTTCCGTGTGGCCTCCCTGGCGGCAGCATCCAGCAGCGCCTTGGAACAGGCTCAACTTGAAGCCGCCATGGTACAGATAGGGACAAAGTGGTGATGTGGAACAACATTGAAATCGCCTTAACTGAGTCGATGTTGTTCCCCGTTGAATTCCGTTCCCCACTGCTATGCGGAGTTTCCAAGGGAGTAGCCAACGAGCTGCCTTCGGGCACTGTTAGCTAAGCTCCTCAACCCTGACGCTCAACCGCTCAACCGCTCATCCCCCAACCCTATTATGTTTTTGAGGGCATTCAAAAAGGGAGGGCATACTAAGGCCGGGAGCAACATAGCAAGGATGCCAACACCACCTCAAAACCCCTTGTGCGCCACTTGGCGTGCCATGCAGGACCTCTCAGGGGCCCTAGCAACACCGTTAACTCCTGGCGTGGTGGACGCCCGAACCTCAGCTTTTGAAGGAGGTGAAAGTGGAGGTGTGGCGGCGTACTTTGGGGCTGTAAAGATCTGTGAAAATTGTAGTGTACTGCAAAAGGACAGAATTGGCAGACGACCACTGCTTGGCGAACGATGCAATCCACATGGTAGGTGCGCAAGCTGAAGACTGCTACACCACAGTATGGTCGCGGCAGTATTCGTCGATGCTTGCGGCTCAAACTGGGCAATGCGCTTGAGCCTGAGGGACCCGAAGCTACTAGCAATAGCCGATGTTGCTCACGTGCTGACCTGACCTCTCATGACTAATGATTAGTTTTTATCGCTTCAAGGCACATATGGAACTGTCAATACCGGGATGAGATGGAGCAAAATTCCACATTCCCACCATTTTGCCATGCTACCACAACTACTCTCTTAACCAAGCTTGGCTTATTGCCAGAAAATATGAATCAATGGAGTCAACGGTTCAATCTGACAGCATGAGCATGAATGCATGGGTATGCCGTTCATCCCACAGTGGCCAGCATCTTCCACACCCCCGTGCCTCTCTGCTGAAGCAGCTTCCGAGGGAGGCCTTCCGTCCGCAGGCATGCAGACTTTGAGAACAAAGTGATGGCCTTCGTACACAACAACACCATTCCTTTTTGCCACTGAATTGGCTGTGAAATGCAAGTGGGGGGCAGTCTCGAAGGAGGCCTGTTCACAGTACCGAGCGTGGCAAGTCCCTGAGCTGCGTTGGCCAAGTTCTGCACGCTGAAACCTGCCCGGCGGATCACGGGCTGGTTTCTCGGCTACCCCGAGACTGCCCACCTTGAATCTTCTGGATGCCCTCGGCAGCGACTGCGTCCGTGGGCGCTCTGCCGAGGGTCTGCAGTGTCGCCGTTGCCCAGGCCAAGTTCGATGACTGCAGGGCGACTTAAAGCTAGCCAACGTCGGCCAACTCTCTTGCAGCTACATCAGCTACTTATGTCGTTCACCGGGTGACGCTCTTGCGAAACTCATCCGAGAAGGCTGAGGCCTTGAACAAAGCAGAAACCCGCCTCCTGCGGCAGGCATTGCTGGATCTTTGGCAGCGCGTGGGCAGCAGTAGACGCAAGCAGCGGCGACCTGCGACGTCGCAACTTCTCCGTCTTTCAAGTCCAAAGGTGACACATGTGTGTACATGATGCGGGCCGAGCAACCTTCATTGAGTGAGCAAAATCGGGCCTAGTTGGGTAGTATTACCCAAAATGGGAAGGGTTCTGCTGACTCATTGTGGGGAAGTACAGCGGGGACCGTTAGAAGGTCCAGGACTTGGGAGATTTCTTGTAGACGGGCAAGAAGGAGGCTAGGATGAGGGTCCGGCTCTGTGATCTTCAAGCGGCCAGGCGATCGAGCCGTATTGGTCAGGTCCCGTGCCCGGTGCTGGTGCACCTGCAAGCGTCGGCAGCGTGGGCTGCAAACGAAACCCGTACATCCTTCATCCATGGGTGCCAGAGCCTTGTGGTGGACTGCTGCCTGCAGTGCTATCTGCAGTGCCCCGCAAGAGTGCGTCAAACCTCAATTTCTCTTGGGTTTTGGCAGGGTCTGAGCGACGGCAATAAAGCAGCAGTAGATGACAGGAACTAGCTGCTCAACTGCTTCAGAAGTAGACTCTCTGAGTCCCGCACGTGCAGCTGCCCAGCAGCTGTTCACAAGCTCCTCTGCAAATCTGCTACTTGCAACACGCGCCAACAAATGCCGCCAAAACCTGGTGCGAGGAGCACCTGAATCGGGAACTCGGGCATTGTCGCAGTGCCGCGTCTTGCTGATGCATGAAGCGCCAGGTCACGGAAGTGGGACGAAGTGGCCAAGGCCCTGGACAAAAAGGTAGCTTGCGCCAGCTACGACCAGCAGTCCCTGCACGCAAAGTCACAGCGGCATCTTTCTAATCGATCTACTGCTACCTTCTGTTGTGGAGTTGGTGAAACTCATTGGGGAGTCGGAGTGAGCCGGAAAGCTGAGCGACTGAGCGCACGCGACTGAACCCGCCCACCAAAGATTAAAGCTGAATCAGAGGGATCGTTGTAGCCACGCAGCCTTTGTGCTTGGGCTCGATTCCCCTCGATTCAGAAACAGGAGCCTGAGGTGGTTCTCGGCTGGAGACGCTTCACTTAAGCCTCAGAGGTGTAAGATGCGGTTCCGGGCTCGGCCTCTTGGACTGTCTGCATGTTGGTTCCACTGGGCGCCAGAGGTCCTGTACCGGTGTCAGAATGCAACTAGGGGACCTCAAATAACCTCAATAACCTCAATGTTGTAAAGAATTACAAGAACTCGGCCTTGCTCAGTCTTGCCAGATAATTGTCGCCGCAAAGTCGGATGGTGCGCGGTCCCGTCCAGGGATGGTGGAACGGAGGTCCTTGACAGCTAGGCCAGCTAGGCATACAAAGTGTGGGGGGATCCTTGTGGACAAGGGGAACATGGAAACCGTGCCCAAGTTCTGCGGCCAGAATGCTGAGCATGCTTGTTTGATCTTCCCAACCTCCCTGAAAAAGTATCTAAATGCACGGGCACCCGGACTCGAAGGTCTTTCTCTCTCTTGCTCTGGAAAATGATCGTGTTTCCTTTCTCTTCTTTGTACACGACGCACGCCCGTCACATGATGTTGTGCAAGGAATTTCAGAGTCCCCACAGCTGCTTCGGGCCGACGATCCAAGTCATGCAACACCATCATGTGTGCGTAATTGTAACTAGACAACTGGACCGATTCAAATTCAGAGTTCTTTCTCGCCATAGCCTGTGTAGCGACTTCACCAAAAAGGAAAGGGCCCCAGCCATTATCTTCCCTGCATAGAGGTCTCGCTCCCTGGTCTATTCGGACAGGCATTTGGACCTTTATCCCCTGGTCCCCCTGTTGCGAGGAAAGAGTCGGATGTCATGACTGCAGCACTAACAGAAGAACCCTCTGGGCAAGCTGCTGGCGCTCCATGCAGGTAACGTTTGCATCCACGACCTGCCAGATGCGATTGCAACATCAGCACAAGAGCCCTCTCCCAGGCAGCAAGCCAGTACTTTTCCAGGCATGCGCGGGTGCCCTACAGATGCCTCGAAGGCTGGCTCCTGACGTGGCCGTGGTACGCAGATGATCATCGGCACCGCCAAGACGTTGGTGCCGGCGTTGATCTTCAGAAAAGCACGTCAAAGGTTGGGTTGCTGAACTGCTTGAGTTCGGACAGCACGCATCCAATAGATTCAGATAGCGATGGTTCGACTGGTAGCGAGTATCCTCACGCTACCGTACGCTGTTGTAATGGTGCTGGCAAAGTGAAGCCACGGACTGGCCGTGCCAGTCTGCCCTACAAGCGACCCTGATGGTCGGCTGCTGAATGTCCGGGACAAAGGGACAAAGCTAGGGACAGAGTTCGAATAACAAATCATGAACCACTTAAAGGCATTCTGCCGTGAAGTCGCTTCCCCCCCCCCCCCCCTGCCATGCCAAGCAGCCCAAAAGGTGATGCGCTTGTCGTACTCAGCTCCAAAACATTGCGTTGCTGCATTCCGCTGGGGTCAGTGCATCGAGATTGGTGTCTAAGGCCCCCCCCCACCAGGCTTGCTCCCCAGTTTTCGTCACTGAAGGTTTCACTGCCAACTGCCAAGCAGGGGGGGAGGGAATGAGGCACCCTGGGGAAGCTGGCAAGTGGCATGGTCGTACAGGTACCCGAATATCATGGGTGCGAAGATGCGTGCGATGGACTGGAAGGCCTGCGATCGATGGAAAGTGCACCATGAACAATGCCCGGCCATGCTTCTGTATATCTCAGTATACAGTATGCTGATATCTGGGCAACCTTGTGAGCGCCTGTGCTGGCCGTGCAAACCGAAAGAGAACGGGCCATCTCGCCTGCTGGTATCCAAGGGCCCTGCCGTAGATCTTCTTTGAACAGATCGTGGTCAAAAGCGACGATGTGGTGGGCGAAATCAGGTTGCCTGGCAAGTGCATCTTTCTCTCCACTTCTCAGTGGAGTCCTGCACTAAAGAGGCACAATCTGCCGGAGTCTAAGCGCAAGCTCAGCAGTATTTGCAGCAAGGGTGCCGCCCGAAACTTGGAAGACAGCCTCGCAGCACCCGCATTTCCCCTCTCTGCTTCAACAAGAGAGAGACAGACGGGCTCCATGCCCTTCCTCCATGACCCCTCTGCCGCCCCCTTCATTGTGCAGCACTCTTTGGTCTGCCAAGCGATATAGCAAAACACAAGGAAATCTCCAGCTCCTAAACCCATGGCAAGGGGGCGGATTCCAAGCTCCACCCAGACTTGCACTCATGTCAAGCCTCTGGCGGCCCCTGTCTGTTCTTAGGCCTCTAGATTCCATGTGGAATTGCAAGCATGGGTTTGGGACAGCCTCCTTCCACGTGTACATGCGCAGGGCGCCGGGGGAAGGGGGTTGAATCGACCTGAAGTCGAAGTTGACTTAGCCAAACTGCATTGCTACTGTGACGCCGCATTGACGCCGCATTGTGGGGTGACGCAGAATTGTGCAGCCGAACTACCCCGTGACCCCGAATTGTGAAGCCGAATTCCTCCCTTCCTGACGCCGCCCGTGACGAGGCCTTGAACCATAAACAGGCTTCCCAGGAACTTGGGACGCATAGGTGCATTTCTTTTCAAATCTGTTGTGGACGAATTACAAAAGATGCTCGCTATAGGTCTCTTGCCATAAGTGCCCGAATGACCGCCAGCTCTTGGCAAACCAGGCGAGGAGACTTGCGCACGCACTTCTTGTGGAAGCTGCTCTCATAAGGGGAGGAGGATAGTTAAGTAGACGTCTTCCATGCGGCTTCGCAATGTGTCTTCCCCTCCTAATTCGGCTTTGCAACGCGCGTCTGCGCCTCCTAATTCGGGGCCATAATGCGTCTTCCCTTCCTAATTAGGCTTCGCAATGCGTCTTCGCCTCCTAAGTCGGTTTCGCCATATTCGTCGTAACGCATCTTCACTTCCTCTTCGCAATGCGTCTTTGCCTGTTTTCGCTTCCTAATTCGGCTTCGCGGGCCCTTTTAAGCACCACTTCGGCTTCGCAGCGGCTTCGGCGTCAGGTCGATTCAACCCCTCCCCCCCTGGCCGCAATGTTGATTACACATATATGCATATGCACGAATTTCTGAATGAACATCTGGCATACAGAATAGCCATGAAATCCTCAGTCCAGGCACACAGACAGCGAACCAGAATGGAGTGGGTGCCCATGCCATTCCTCGGATGGACAAAAGCAGGTCTGTCCCACGACCTGTCACATGGCACTGCGTGGCAAAAGCTGAAAATGAGGCAGTGAGGGTCCATGCTCATGCCAATCGAGCTGCCGACAAAGCCCAATGTTCGGAAAATGCCCCCGAGAATGATGGTGATGTTCTCGCCGAAAATTCTCAACAAGGGCTTGTACACAAAAACCTCAGTCGCATCTGGCCCGGGACGAGGCATTTCAGTGTCGGCAGGCCTCGTGCAGAACCTCCTTGCAGCATCTTGCAGTATCACATGCATCTGACACAAAAAGTCTGACAAGCCATACACGAGCTCAGACTCCATTTGCCACCAGGCAGCGGCAGTCAAGAACATCGTGACCCCAGCAACGGTGAAAAGCGCACCATAAAACTGACCACTGACAACTTGGGGGTTTGGGTCATTGGCATAGTAGGTGTCCTGAGCTGCTTGCAATCACCTATTCCACGTGCACGGGAGACGTCCAAGAACCCTTGTATTGAGATTCTGAGCGATCTATGCGATCTGTTGGGAAGGCACCCATACCAACCTGACTCATGCACTCCGCTTTGAGAGGTTTGCCAGGTGTCCATGAGGTAGTAGCCCGTCACACTTTCGAAGGAGGCAAAGCCAAGCATAAAGAGGAAGCCCGCACCGAAGAGGAGCCCAGCAGACCACGGAATGTAGTCCTAAAATGTATGGATCTGAGAATCTATATGCACTTGTCGGTTTGCCGATAGCTTGCTTCAGTTAAGAGGCGAGCCCCGTGTCGACTGATGATTGCCGGGCCTGCAGCCGCGAAGCAGACTCTCCTCGTGATTTCAGTGCGGGCACGGATCACGACCCCTAGCTCGGCACGGCTGCATTTGCCAGGGGTTTAAACGCACATTCATGACAGCATGCGGACACTGGGTACCCAAAATAAAATGTTCTAATATTAGAATAGTATTAGAATGAATCTCCCTACGCAGTGTCGATCTGCGAAGAGTCCTCTATCTTCTTCGGCTGCCACCTGCGTCCCTGTCGCCCCTGCCACCATGCATCATTGCACAGTCACACCAAGTCACAACTTGCCCTGCCTTCGCCCTGAGCTGCACCACCCTCTGCCGCCGTCAGGGATGCAGCTGCTTCTCTGGCCTCCAATCAGCTACCAAGATTGGATACATTACAAAAACTGCAAGCAAAAGCAGGCAGGGGGTTGCTTGCGGCGCACCCCCCCCCCCCCACCCCCTCAATGAATTTAACAAAACCATACTCGCAGGACGGGTTTGGAGAAGGATCGAATGTATTCTGAACGCAAGTTCTCTTGATGGCATGATCTGCAGAATAGAGGACCCTAAGGCTCCTGGGCCCTCAAAAACCCAGGATTTAAAGACCCCAGAACCCTTCCTAGGAGGTACCAGTCCCTCCGTAGGAGGGTCCTTGGAGCCTTAGGGCAAGCAGGCAGGGCTTCAAATATGTTTCCAATTTATGTCTTTATGTTATTTCTTGGTTTATGCATTTCTTGCATTGTGCTTTTGTTCTTTATGTCCTTCTGTATTTCTTTCCGTCGATTTTTTCTTCTTCCTGTCTTGACCTCTATTTCCTCCATTAGTCTGTACTAATTCCGCCGCACCTCATTTAAAACCCCCTTTACGCTGCATGTTTCGAGTCCATTCATAGCAACACCTCCTCGGAACCTTTAGAGCAAACACTCATGTCCAACACAAAAAAAAAGTCCAGGTGGCCAAAATCAGAGGCTAACGGTTCAGTTGAAACAAGTTGGTTCCGGGTACCCGTAAACCCTTTGGAGACCTGTATTACATCGTATTACTAACCTACAGCACGGTCCATTCATACCGCGTGCATAAACCCGGAGCAGCTTTGATGGTCTCTGAGTCGCGCCTGGTTGCCGCGGGGCTTGGCTTCGGTCAGGAAGACCATGCCCACCCTGAGACAGAGATTCGGATGTTTGAGGTGTTCGCATTGGAAGCGCATGGAATGAAGAGCGGAGTTTGGAGAGCCCAGCCGCCAAGCCCAAGAATGACGCTGACTGGAATTCCTCACCCACCCTTCTCTGCAGGCAGAGTGCACGAGATTGATGGCAGAGAGGCCGGCTGAGACGTAGCAGGCCACGGAAAAGCCCAGGTGACTGAGGACGCCTCGCACAGAGACCATGGCACTTTGCCAATCCGAGATGCGAAGGGCGATGGCCTCCAAGAGCTGGGCCGATGATGATGCCGATTGAATTGCAGGCCTGCCTCCCAAGTCAAAACATAGCGAATTAACATACAAAGCAAAAAAATAGAGTAAGTGCTGCCAAGGCACAAGTAGGAAATGTAAACAGACTTCTCCTGGAAAGAGCGTCCAGCGTTCTTAGCGATGTACTGCTGCAACGCAACACGCTTGCAGTTTACCGGCTGAGGCTGAAATGGGAATTGGATAAACATAAGGTCTGGCATCACTGCTTAATGGGCCTAAACCATTGGCAGCTCTGATCACGCATGCTCCATGCTCTTGGCAGTGCGCAGGATAGCTTGTGCTACCACACTACACGGCTACACGGCCCATGCTGTCTTGCCTCGCCAGTTGTCGCGTCGGCAATGTAGGCATTAGCAATGCCAACAGTGCCTGCAATCAGTGTCTACAGTGGGAGACAGCTTTCTGGAGCACGATGACGGCCCCATGACACGTCATGTAGCGACTCGAATGGCGAGGGTTCCAGTGAGGAAAGCCATTGCCAACAATTCCTTTTCAACATCGCATTCTCGGTGTTGCTAGTCGAGGGCGCCCTCAAATTCAAAAATTGAGGGGGGGAGGGGGGGGTGGCGGCATGAAAGCAGCAGACCACTCTGCCGCTGGCTCTGAACACTTTCTGCCACACTTGTTGCCAACAATTGAGGGTGCTCTCGAATTGCGTAGGTGCCGTTGAAAAGCTACATTCTGGCTACGGTGGTTACTTCTCCCGCGGTGTCACTGTACTTCCCATACCGCGTCCTCCGAACTTTAAGATTCCCTCTGCTGAAGCAGGCACGTATCACTGTACTTCCCTCTGGCCAGTGTCAATGGCAGAGCGAAGTCGCAGCGTCAGAAGAGCGCAGGAATTGACGCGCGAGCAACTCGCGATAACTTCGTGGAGTCGATGTGTTTTCTCGCATGTTTTCTCTGCTTTTGTTGACTGTATGGACTATTTTGCACTCCTGACTGCATTTTTGCGGCAGCGCATTCCCTGCACGGTGACATGGTGCGAATCTCAGAGAGGGGAATCACCAATCTTGGTTTGAAGCAATTTAACGGCCTGTTGAACTGTATAAAGGTTTGTCGCGAATCACATGCAGATGCGAAATATGCGAAATGCAGAGCCTTAAGCCAGGCCTCCGCTAGCACCGTTGATGGCGCGGGCAGCGACCTTCAGCTTGTGATGCAACTCGAAGATAAGACACATTAAATCAGGAGTCTGGTACATATGCTGGTAGGGCCTGAACACGGTGACACAGACTGCTTTCAGCTGCTTCTAGCTGATCTGCCCACCGTCTGATAAGCCTAGGTGCGATCATCGGAAAACTCCATGCAAAGCCTGTCATCGCCGTCGACCTGTGCAACGCTGCTTGTACACCCAGTGCTCTGCAAACACAGCACATGGTTGACAGTGACTCATTCAAAGACATATCTGTAGCAAGCATTGTGGCAAATCGTAGCAAGATGTCGGTGCCAGGATATGTCGAGCGGCACCATTGTTCCAAAGACTGCGACCAAAAGCACGGGCCGGCGTCCGAAGCTGTCGGACGCACGCCCGAGTATAGGTGTAAAGACAACCTGCGCAGCAGTCCCTACACTGAAAAGCGGAACAAGGAACAAAGTCACTTCGCCAGACTGCTTCTTCCACAAGACACGAAGCAACAGCTCGAGGGACGAGTCGTGCATGCAGCGAATATGGCTTGGCACCTTGCCTGGGCTACCGAAAATGCGGTGGCCAAACTGCCAACCTCAGCGTCTAGATGAACAGCACTTCTCCACATCCCAGTCTTGGCTGAATCATAGCACGCGTCCGATGCCGCTTGAACACCCCCATATCCACGTCAAGAGCCTGAAACTGGACGCAGGTCGGGAGCCCATTCTTTGCTTTCAAGTTGCGGCTGTCGCGTCAGCACCAAAATGCTCTGCTATGGATGGCAAAAGTGGGAAGACAATGCCTTGCTTCGCACATGTCGCACTGGGATGACAAGTTTTAGGGTCCAACGGTGCTCCAGCAGAGTTCAGAGCCGTCAGAGCTGTTCAATCCGAGCAACCAAAATTCAGCATGTCCAGGAGCACGACGAGGTACACGGTCCTGATCAATCTATCCGAATCAAGCGCGCGGACTCTCTGAGACCAAACATAGCCAAACCAGGCGCTACCTGATTAGAGCTGAAACCCAATCTCGTACACCTCGCCCTTTTGGCCAGGCAGTCCATATTGCTCCAGCGGATACCTTCGGCATGCCAGCATCCGGCAAGCGCCCGTGCGCGCAAGGCTTGTTCCAACATGCTGCGGATTCATCATCACCACTTCCCAGTACATGCTCCAATACGGTGCTCCAGAGGCACTACTACGACTCAAACGCCAGATGCCCCTCATCCCCCTTGTCGGGCGAGCACTTCCGTGCAGAGTTCCAGCATGTTCCAGCGAGTGGCAGTTGGACGGGGAGCGAATGCCCATGAATGCCCTCAATTGGCCCTCAATTGGCCCGTTAAGTTAAGACCCTGGCAACGTGCAGCAAGAGCATCTACAGAGCTCGAAGCATGGGCTTGCCGGAATGTGTTGGACGTGTTCTGGTGGTTGAGCTACTCCATGACATCAATCGACTTGGACACGGCCTGGTGCTGGCAAATGACATACGATGTCAGCTGAAAATTGCCGCCCTGGGGTCAGCCTAACGGCCCAATAGCTCCCACTTTACGTCTTCGACAGACTACGAGATAGCAGAGATCGAACTTGCCGGAATCACAGAACAAGGGCAGCGGCTGCAGCCAGCAATTCTGCACTCTTGACCTTGCTGTGAGCTGCGATGGCCAAGCACAAAACGAACTGGCTTCGGCGTGCTCATTGAAAGTTTGTCATGCAGGCCTTGGGGTTGCTGGCCATTCGTGACGGTCCGTGCTCCGTGCTTTGTATCTTCCGGGGAGTACAGCCATGCCCTCTCTCGCATAGCGGGGGCCTGCGAGAACTTTCGCCTTTCCCTGCAAGGCCTCCAACCTGATGCCCAGGACTCAGGACCATACCAAGGAATTTGCTGGCGACCGAGCCATGTTCGCCAGGGCCTGCAGTTTGTGATAGTTTGTGAATTCTTCAATCGAGTGTACTTGTGGGGGACGGCAGGAACGAAAGCTAGTGCAGTTGCTCTCGAGAAGCCACAGGAGAATAGCATTGAGCGAACAAGTGTGAGACTTGCAGTTGACTACTCAGTGCGTATCCCAACCAAGAGCATCGCCAGAGAATCCAGAGAACTCAGGATGGAGTGCCCAACCGCAGAGTATCCCCAGAGGATCCCAGCATAAAACTCACCATAACTCACCTGTAGACGGTTTCGATGCTGCTGTTGGAGATGCAGTAGCACTTAGCCAGGTGGGGGGGACGCCCCCAATTTGCACCACCCCCAGCGGCTCAACCTTGCAGTCGGTAAGGTGACTCGGCCAGCCTTCAGGGCCTAGCTTTCGTTACTGATTTCAGTCATGGCACCTCAAACCCGAAACTTTGACAAACGGCCTGCGGGAAAAGCTCGGAGATCTTGGTCAGAGCCAGGTCGAAGGTTGCAGTGGTCAAAGCCACGCCTCAGCTGCCATCGAAGCAGCAGTAGTGCACAAGCCTGGGATCACTTCCCATGATAAGGGCCCATAAGCATCGGACCATACCAGTGCAGTTTGGCGAAGCCTTGCGCCTTAACATGTCCCATGTACAGCACCTACTGATTGCTGCATAATGCCCCACTTCATTTCTGATGACCCACCGCCGCAGTGCAGGCTTGTAGGTTGCAGACTGCATTCGCAAGGTTCTGTTCCGAGAAGGTGTCTAGAATCTTGTGCGCCTCAGTGCAGATAAGGCATGATGAGGCCTGCCAAATCGTGCCAAATCCGGCCAATCCCCAAACTTCAGGGCGCCCGGGCCTCCTCCACTGTGACCTGAAGCAGCGACTGCGGCCTCGGTTTTTGACTGCAGGTCCATTGTTGCTGACACTCTGCCGACACATGCAGGCGTTCCGCAGACAAGTTTCTCACGGCCTCTCACGCTTGGGCGTCGCGCCGAAGAAGTGTAGCTGCACAAGACCAGGCGAGGTTGGAAGGGCCTTGAGCGTTGAGACCTGCAAAAGCTCCCAGCGAAGCGAATTTTACAACCACTGCTCAGGTAGTGAAGCCCTTCCTAAACACCCTGTGAGTAGAAGATCCCAACATCCTTGCGGGCACAAAGTGAGCACCAGCAAGCCCCATCCTAGGGCGAGGCCCGGGCTCTTGCTGGCCACCTGGGAAAGGATCATTAAAACGAGAGCACTTCTTGAGAACCCCATGAGAATCTCCAGGGCATGTTCTTCGGCTCCTCCCTTGCGCCAGCTCGCCCTTCGCTTAGCCCCTCCTTACCATGAACCACCCAGCCTGGGAGCCACATGACGCCTCAATCAGCTTCGTGTCTTTGGCCTCGGTGGCTCACGACACAAAATGCCCAAGTGCCAGCCACTGCCAGCCCCTTCTACATCCTTCGGCTCAGAGTCCGACGGACATCTTGGCAAAGCCCCAGACTAAGTTCGAAGTCTCCTGCCTCAGACACGAGTATCGACGGCACCTTCTGCCACACTGACATTTGTGCTTGTCTTCGTTTCTCTGTGTTTCTGGCCGAATTGGAGTTATCCCGATATCTCATCGGCCCATAGGCATTCAACGCATTAAGTCATCAGATCAGGCCAAAAGCCGGCCGACGCGAACAACGCGTTGGTGACAGCGGCTTCTCTAGCAAATCAGGCCACGCATGTGAGATGCCTTCAACACGCTTCAATGCTGGGCATCCAAGCCTGCCTTCAAGAAATTTCAAGAATTTAAGGGTGCACATCAGGAACGATGTCTTCGTGATCAGCCAATGGTGCCAATGTATCAATGTGTGAGGCTGCCGCTATGCACTGTAGGGGATGGTGAGCAGTGCCCGGTCGGCGAGCACACCTGCACAGCGGCTTCTACACACACATGGAAAGCCATGAACTTCAGGGGTTCCGGGGCACGCTCGAACTGCGCACTTGGGCGCCCACTCGCCAACGACTCATTGATGCTCCTTAGCTAAGCCGTCCCGGCATTGGCATTGACTGAAGCAGCGAATGTTTCGCAATGTCGAATGGCCTGCTCATGTTTTGCCCGGACGAATCTGGCTGCCATCACGCAGGTGTACCCACATACACGAGTGGCCAGCGCAACTTGCAATCCTTCAAGGAAACGCTTCAGCCACGAATCTTCATCTTGGCCATCCCTTGCGCGATGTTGCCCATGTGCTGCGGGAGGAACTCTGACACCTTCATTTCGCTGCTGCGAACGCTGACCCAGCGCTGCAGAGTCAGATAGTCAGAAGCTGCAACATTACGCCAAGAATACAAGCGAAAAGTGCCCTGAGTAAGAACGACACTATACGAATTGATCGACCGGCTGCTGCGTCAAGCAAGGCACCCTCTCTCCACCTTGGGGCAGATTCCATGCATCAGGGGCATCCGTCAAGCTGCATCCCGTTCTCTGAATTTGCAAAATCGATGAACCGGTTGTTCAGCCCTTGCATGCTCAGCACTCAAACTCGAGCCGTTCCCAGGCCATCACGTTGATCCGGGATATTCAGGGATTTGCCTGAGCTCCCAATCTACTGGTACAAGTAGGCTCGGCAAGGGTGCGGACTCCATTCTGCCACATGCCCAGGAGAAGTTCGCACACTCCTGCAGGGCAGGACTTGGCCCGACAGTTGCCCGTTTAGCATGATGAAGCTCCCTCGTGGAACTCAGCTTGTCAGGCGTGGACCGTATGCCTGTGGCCCCAGCTCATCGCTGCAGCAAACACCTGTGTTTCCATGTTGAAAATGGTGCTAAAGGGTTGAGGGCGTTGAGGAGTCAAGGGTTGAAGATTTAAACATTTTAAGGTTTAGGTTTTAAACGGGTTAAGGGTTTACAAGGGCAAGTGAGGTGGCAAGTACTTGTTTCGCAGGGTTAAGGGCTGAAAACAGTTTAAAACGGGTTCACACATAAGGGCGCAAAAGGGCAACTTGTTGTTCAGGGCGCAAAAAGGGCTTAGGGCTTGAAGTAGGGGACACAAAGAACCACCTGAACATAAGGACCCCCCTTATAGGGGCCCTTACACCCAATAGTAGGATCCTTTGTTGGGGCCTTTGGGGGGGTGCATGGTGCTCTACGATTCCACGTCCTGGAGCTTTGTCACTGGCAGCCGCGGACTGTACGAACAAATCAAGATTTATATGTGGGCTCCTTGCATGAATGGCTTCCGTAACTGAACCCAACCCCTTCTCAAATAGTGAGCACGTGCCAAGGGTGGTACAAAGGTTAAGGGATCAGGATTGAGGGTAGGTGATATTGTAGCACCAATTCGTGAGTTCGCTGTCTGGCATGGCAGGTGTTGCTAGGCTTCGGTTTAGGGTTTGGGGTTTAGGGCCTATGAATTGTATGACTATATGACGGGCCAAAGGACATTTCATGTAGCATTATCTGCCTGGATTGTGTTGTCCCTTTTCTTCTCGGTGGCGAAAAAAGTTGACCGGCAATGAGTAGGCTCAAGCCGAAGGTAGGGGATCAGGGTTTTTTTGCCAACCGCCTAGCAGGGGATCAGGGTTTAGAGTTTAGGGTTTGGGGCTTCACCCGTTACAGCTCAGACTAGGGAAGTTGTATTTCGGGTTTGGGTTTGTTGCGGGAAGGGGTGTAAAGAAACCTTCGGGGTAGAGCTCAGAAACCCCAAGCCAAAGGTTTGTTTTGGGGGGGGATCTTCTCCGATCTGCTCATCTATCAGATCTAACAGGCTGACAAGCAAAGATAATCTTGCCCATCGGGGGTCGCACGTTCGCCAGTTGCAGCCGTGGACGGCTGATGCCATACCAGCAAACGTGTCGGCGACCACACGGTGTTCGCAAGCTGCTGGACCTTAAATGACAGGTACATCTACTGAAGAGTACTGAAGGAGAATCAAAATAAGCCTGGCCGCCAGGCAAGACTGGACGAAATACTCAGCCAAGCTTGCCATCCCTCGATCAACTCTGTCGAAAACACTATTTTCCAAACGACCCGTCCTGTCCCTCATTTGAGCTTGCTGTAAGTGATGAATCTCCTTGTCCAGCTTTGCTCAGGCCAACTGAGGGGGAGGCCCGCGGTTCCAAAATCTCAGCACTCAATGCCTCCACCAACCTGGCTTCGCTACCCAAGCGTGATACGGGCTACCCTCCACCTGGAAACCAGACCATGCCGCACCTGTGGCGCAG